CAGTCCGGTAGGAAGTAGAATATCAAGCTAACTCCTCAACAACATCGAGACTAGACGGAACAAATTGAAAAGTCAAATTATCATAGACTGTCATACCACTCAAATACAGCGATATTAGGCGGACCAAACTTGATAAATTGTGGTCCGATTACTCTCCGATAATTAAAACTGTCCGGTGGCAAATAGAATTTAAAGGTAACACTCAAAAACAGCGAGATTGGGAGGACCAAACTGAATTAAAGTGCATTTATCATCGACTGTCGTACTGCTCAAACACCATATTATTCGGACCAGATTTGATCAATTTCGGTAAGCCTCTCAATGTTCGATCTTCTAACAGTAAAGTGCTAAGTGGATCATGGATCTGATGGACGTGCTCAACCCCAAACGAAATTTTGACGCGACTACTATCGAAGAGTTGGATCATTCGCCTATTTCTAAAGCATGATCTAGCTAGCACAAGCTTAAAATAGCGAGGATAAGCGGACCATGGATCTGGTGGACGTGCTCACCCCGACGAAATTTTGGCTCGACTACTACCCAAAGTTGAATCATTCGTGCATTTATAAATCACGGTCGAGCTAGCACCTGATAAAAATGACGAGGTTAAGCGGACCATGATGGACGTGCTCAACTCCGAACGAAATTTTGGCGGATCTAATGGAAGTACTGATAACTTAACCATTTAATAAAGCTATCATCTAACTCTAATGTACTGTCATGCTAAGTAGCAAATAAAGCGAGGATTGAAGGACCATATCGTGCTTAATTACAGTCAAGAATGCAGACAGTCAAACTACGAACAAAGCGATATTAGGCGGACCTGGTGTCCTTCCTACCTACATGTTTTTTCCCAGCCTCCATGCCAGTCTTACAGTTCATATTATCTATTTTCGTGCAATATTTTTTTCACATCACAGTTCCTTTTTAAATTTTTTGCTCCTTGTCATTTATAACCTGCTTTGTCTTTTAATTTTTATGAGTACGGTTTATACGTTTATGTTACTTGATATCCTTCATTGTTTTTTAGCTTTTCCCTTATTGTTAAGCGAACATTTACGTATGATAAGTAGTGGTATAACATTTTGGCATAGGGAGCAAGGTTCCCATGGGTCGAAGAGAATCAGTCAGAAATCACGGCCCTTGTTATATCCGAACTTATATAAACGATATAACTCGGATCCGCCTTTCTATTTATTTCCCCCTTTGATCGATACCCGTCCATCCGACGATTTTCGAAAGGGGGAGCGGAACGGAACCGTCCGACGAGCCTTGAACCGGGTCCAAATGGGTTGGCGGCCCGATTCCGTCCACGTCCTCCGAAAGAAGGCACCGCGAATGCTAAATCCAGCTCGTTTTTGGCATTTTTCCTCCCTCCCCTATGATCGGCAATTTTCTGAATTTGACGGCTCGTAGAAAGAAGGGCGGACGGGTAGCGGTCCTCGTTTACGTCTCACTCTGGTTCATCCAGATGGAATGGCGGCCGCGTTTAAATAAATCATAAAGCGTGTTAACGTTTGACCGGGGGTCGGCGTCGCGCTCCGTTTCCCTGGACCCCGGGTCGCCCTTTTACCCATTTCCCTAGACGACCGGGAGTTTCTCGTTCCCACCTGTTCACGCAACATCGAAGTCGAAAAAAAAATTCGAAAATCCATGTATTTTGAGGATGTTGTCCGACGTGGGAACAACTGGAGCGCAACAGGAATCCCTCTACGCATATAATTTAAATACACTTACGGGTGTCCGCTTTGTTACGCGCACAGTCATCTGTGAGACCCCCTTTTACTGTTTATTATTGTCTTGTTTTTCAATATTTTACTATAATACCGAGGAAGTTGTGCAATTGGAATTACGGCCCGTGAACGTTTCCCAAGAAGGAAGAAAGTACCCAACGAACATCCATTGTCATTCTTTAAAATAGGAAAAGACGGTGCTAAGAATATACATACACATAAGCTTATTAGATAGGAACAAGAAGGAAGCACAACATATCGTGTTGGTTGATCAAAAAGTTACATGTATGATATAGCCCATAGAAAGCATAGAAGGTTCAAAAATACACACCAGACAAGAACAGGATGTAGTAGGATCAAAAGTCCTATTTGATGGACGCAGCGCAAAATTGTTTACCTACCTCAAGAAAACTATCCGTAGGTAGGAAGGTTCGCGCTACATAACAAATTTAGAAGGAACACCCAAAGAAATTGGCACAAAAAAAGAGTATTAGGTTGAAATAAGTTATCCTATTTCAAAGCATATTGGTCTAGAGTCATTTTGAAGGCACTTTCCAAGGTACGCAAATAAAAATCCTTCGGACACAACTCGGAAAATAAGGGAATGATGCCATCTAGTGTCTCCGTCCATATAGATATTGTAGACCGAGGAATAGAGGTACATGGAAAATCTGGAAGGTATAAGCTCAAACACAATCACTGTGGTAGATTGGATTGCGAAATCCTTGTTATACACTTAGGATAACAAGGGGATCAGGTCATCTCTCATGTCTTCGTCTAGATGGATATTGCAATTCGAAGTACCGAGTTACATGGAAAATTTGGAAGATAAACACACATACACATTATTGACAGAGAGATAGGATTGCAAAAAATTGGCTTATACCCATAGAAAAATAAGGCGATCAGGTCATCCCTTTTTTTCTACATCTATATAGATTTGCAGTCTGAAGTATAGAGGTACATGGAAAATTTTGGACGGTATGCCCTCACAAGAAAAATGCGGTAGAAATTAGAAATCCTTCTTAAACACCTCGGAGAATAAGGGGATTACTGAAATGTGGATGTTGCACATGAAGATGTATTAGATGTAGATGACAGATGTATTAGTCGGGGTGTGTGATATATTGCGCCCTTTAAGAACTGTTGTTTCCCCCGTTCTGTGCATATAGCACACCGGTGAGTCCTATTTCATCAAGGAATTTAATCAGTAGAACCGGTTTCAGTGGTTGAATTTCTTCTACGATCACACTTTACATCCCGAAGCACTTCCTCCTGCTGACAAGTAGAGCCACAGTTTGTTAGGTGTGCTGGTGTCTCCTCTGCTTCTTTGCAGAATCTGCACGTGCCGTCTTGGGTTATACCAATCTTCTTTCAGTGTCCTGTTAAGAATCCTGTCAAGATTCGCAGTTTTTCCTGCTTCTTTTGATACACTCTATTACTTCTTTCCTTCCGAAATTTTTAAGGAGGTTGTTGGATTGTTTGTGTCAAATGAGTGATTTCCATTGTTCCCTAATTTTCTTTTTATCCTTCTGTCTGAGGTACTCATTGATAGTGTGGGTTCCTATGCCACAGAAGGGTTAGGGATCCTATCAGCGGCATAGCTGCCCCTTTTTCACAAGGGTGTCCGCTTTCTCGTTGCCTTCTTCTCCCTCTAATGATGCACATACTTATATACAGAGCAGTAGTAGATAGAAACGAGAAATCTTTCTTATACCCCAAGGAAAGAAAGGAGAAACTACGCATATACATACACACTCACACAAGAATAAGAAATCCTTCATATACATCTAGCAATTAGAGGGATTAGATCATCTCTCTGAGGCTGTGCACGAGGCTTGATATCCCTCAAGAAATTTATCTATGGGTAGGAAGGTTCTTGATATATAACAGATTTAGAAGCTACGATTAAAGAAACACATAGACACACACACAATAGGAGACAGAGGTACGTAGGAAATTTGGAAGTTATACACATATGCACACTCACACACAAGAGTAGAATTAATTACTGAATATCCCGCAGCTTTTCGTCAAATTAATTAATTACGTCAGATAATATTTTGCAACCGATATGGTCCGCCTGTCCTGGCTTGCAATAATTACATGTTAACCCGGTCGATGTATGTAACAAAATAAATTATTATTCTGTGAGGGCTAATGACTGAATGTTGTTTTATTGTTTCGAACCATCGGATCGACTGATGTAGCGTGTCAGCCCTGAGCCCTAACGGTACCTGATTTTGACTTTTGTTTTTGTTCATCGTGTAATCTATCGAGAGGGCATGGGAACGACGCAACCACTATAATAACCGGGTGCCAGGTCGGGGCTAACAGGTGTTTAGTCGAGAACAGGCCGATCCGACAAAAACATCAACGTGAAGGAAGTTAAGTAAATATTCGGACCGCCTCTTCTCGCTTATCTTTACCCTTCGACTACATTTTCCTCTATAATGTTAAATTCATAGACATCAATACTTAACGGCAATTTTTGATATACTTGTCCTACCCATGACTCCAATAGCCATGGTCAATATTAGCCAGTAGTTATGCGATGTCAATATTGATCTTATGGGGGGACGTTGATCAATGACCGTGTTTACAACCAACTGTCACTAGTTAATTCTCGAAAAGATATGTTGCGGATACGGAGGGAAAGACACGGAAGTGTGCCAAGAGTATTTCAGACGGAGCGCGACGCGTTTCAGCCGGTCCACAGGCTTGACTGGGCAAGAGAAAGTCAACTGTTTCAAAACCATCCTCAGATATCATCTCTGATATCCGCGGCCAGATTGGAATCGCACGTAGTTGGATAACGAAATTAGATTCCGTCCGAGGAGATGCCGGCCGGTCGGATCAATCAAAGACAAAAGTAGGATCCTTTGAACAATAAAATATAAAAAAAGAAGAGCCCAACTAACGTTTTACCTTCAGAAGAAACGACCGAGTTCAATCAACTTGGTTAGAAAGGTTGTGGCATCTGCAGAATAGAATATGTCATCTCTAGCTCTTCCTTTATCCATCAATCTATCACTTTTCCTCAAAATATATTTCTATATATCTTTTCTTCTGTTTCTGTGAACTTGCTTTGTTTTTCAATGTTTTGAACCAAAATAAAAAGGTACAAAACCTATGAGGTGTGAATTTGGTTTTGGTTATGAATTGGCGAAAATCCAACGTTCAGTTCGTCGTCTCTTGCCCAATTAACCGTTGATTAAAATTAAACCCATCCCACCACGTCACCAATATCGATCTGTTGTGTTTCAGGTCGCCCAGGTGACGATGAGAGGGCTCTCGACGTAGCCGGCGGTGGCAGCTGGCAAACCGGAGGCAGTGATGTAGAAGAGGTGATATGAACCGCTACGTTCAGCTCCATCAGCTCGGAGATGGCACCTACGGATCAGTCGTACTCGCCCACAGGGTGGACACCGGGGAGAAAGTCGCTATCAAAAGGCAAGTCTATTCATTCAAAAACACAACACGACAAACGAGACACATTGATATACTTAAGTCTTGATTGAGCAGGGTAAATCAGAAGCTAAAGTACCGATAACATACATCAAAAATGTTTGGATATTAAAAAATCTATGTTCCGCCAGAATTCCCATTGACCTTAGGTCTTCCTGAACAAAATTTTTGGCAGTATGGAAAATTGGTTGAGTCATGGTTTGATATTGTTTTAAGTATATCTCAATATTTACACACTCAATTTCTACAGCTCTAGCATAAAATTCACTTTAGAAAAAAAATTGTGTGAGAACATTGATTTTCTACTGTTAAATTGATATACTAGCCCCATCATGGTTGAACTAAACTTTTCATTTCCGGAAACTGTTTACCCCGTCAATACTACTGTTTATGTATTCATATAAATGTACGCTCCTTGTATTCAATTTTTTCTCTATCAAACTCAACGAGAGAGTATTAAAACTGTAGAATGGACGGAAAATGATACCTAGGAAATAGGAAATCGTACGGGTCAGGTCACACGGTGGAACGAACTAAACGGACGTGGCGGGACGGGCAATTGGACAGTTAGATATAATAAATTCCACGTAGGCCCATCATAGAGTACAAAAATTACAGGCGAATATAAAAATGAGAACAGCCTGAGAAAAGCGACGAGCATATCCTTTGATTTGCAATTTTGCAAGATGTGCTTTCTTGGCCGACTGGATGGCCGTCCTCGTGTTTTCATTTGTATAACATTTAATATACGTTCCATTATTCCTATTTTACACTGGGACTTGCACAGTGTACAACCTCGGCCGTTTTGGAGCTTGTTGAACACAATTGCTTTTCGCAGGATCCATCAACGATAGAAGACATAACTGAATTATTCAAATTAACAGGCAAGTTGAAAGGAATTGAACGATCCTATTGTTGTACAACAACGAAATTGGGGATACATACCACTTCGCTCGCATAACAGTCTGATCAGAATTTTAATAGGCTACGGTGGTTTTTTGGGGGAACAAGTATTCTGTGTGCACGCATTTATTTGAATGTGAGAGAGAGTGAGAGAATAAGAGATGAAACAGCACAATAAAAGCGACTGAGGAAGATAAGTAATATATAAACAGTGAGGTAGAGAAAGAATGGCGATAGATTGGTAGATATATAAAAGCGATATATTATACCAAATATTAAATTAGCTAATAAATATTTTCGAAGGTAAAAAGTCAGGTATGGTTATACTAAATCATGATTTTCTTTAGGTTAAATCACAATTTACAGATTTTGTCCTAAACTACATTTATTGATAATTATTCAAATATGAGAGAAATTGAATCGTATGATACGAACAAATTTTTCGCTTAAACAACCCAAACTTCGCGGAATCAGTGTTGCCTGCAGTGTTGCCCGAACACGGGGCAAAGGGTATCTGCATCCGAAATTAAAAATATTTATTGTTTGTACATTTGGAAAACTGTCGAACTGAAACCTAACAAATTTCCATATCCGGAATCAGTGTTACCCGAGCACAGGATAGAGGTAAAAACATGATTACAGGAGAGAGAATGAAAGAGAGAAACTGACAGACAGAGTGAATGAGTAAGTGATGAAATAGGAGAATAAAAGCGAATGAGAGGAAAGGAATATACACATTCAGAAAAACGATGAGAAATAGGTAGAGAGATTGAACACGTTTTATAATAACAATCTATATATCCAGTAGATAAAAAAGTGGCACTGAATATTATCATTCACTCTTCTCTACAAGCTAACTCAATATATAAAATTTTGTTCCAAACAATATTATTTTTTGATAATTAATAAATTATGCAGTGTATTGACCCATATGATATAAAAAATATAGCTTTTCTCGCTTCAATAACCCCAACTCCCTGGAATCAGTTTACCCTCGAACACGGGTTGGGGTGAAAAAACAGTGACAAACGCATTACAGACACGTTTGATTTTTACTTAGAAACTACAGTACAAATCGACTTTTATCGTCTTTATTTACAAAAAATCACTTGTGCGCACTACGTAAAAGTGTCAAAGTGATAAACCTAACGAACTTCCATATCTGGAATCAGAGTTACCCGAACCCAGGATAGCGGTAAAAACAGAATTACAGGAGAGAGAAAGAAAGACAGATGGGGAGAGCGAAAGAGTGACTGGAAGGAGAGATAGAGAGAGGCAGACGAACTGACAGAGTGAATGAGTAAGTGATGAAAAATGAAATAGAAAAATAAAAAGGATTGAGAAGAACGGTAATTTATCTAAACAGATATTCAGAGAAACGATGAACAATAGAGAGACTGAAAACGTTTTATAATATAAATATCTGTACAGCTTTTTACATGCTAAATCATTATGCAAAATTTGGTCCCAAACAACATTATTTATTTATAATTAATAATATATGCAGTGTATTGACCCATACAATATAAAAAAACATAGTGTTTCTTGCTTTAACAACTCCCACTTCCAGAATCAGTGTTACCCGCAGTGTTGCCTCGAACGTGGGTTGGGGTGAAAAACAGTGACAAACGCATTACAGACAGCACGTTTGTTTTTTACGTAGGAACCACATTATAAATCGACTTAAATATATTTATTTACATCCCAAAAACACTTGAGCACACTACGAAAACATTTTGACGCACTAAACTACAGAAACCTCACTCCCCTGAATCAGTGTTTACCGCAGTGTTGATCCAAACACGGGAAAAACAGGGGCACAGATAGCACGTGAAATGAAATATATTTAATTATTTTAAAATAAAAAGAATTAAATTAAAAAAGATCATGTGATAGATATGAAAGGGTAGAATAACTTGAAAAATAAAAACTTGGTAAAACCCCAGGAAATAAATAATATATAGTATAGTTATATCCGATACTTTTTAAAAGGATAGTTCCTACTCACAGTAAGTTGTTTTGCAACGATCCGGATTTCGAGCAGTTTACCTCATCATCAGGTTGAAAGACTTCCACAACCACGTCTCTCGACATGAATTGCCAAAGTGAACCGCTGATACCTCCGCCAACGCGACATTCCAATTATCAGCTGATTTTTTTAATGACGCTCAATTTGATCGAGCGAAACGCGGAAATTATAACACAAATAAATATTAGAATAATAAATACTTAATATTACTATAAATTACTATAAAAATAATAACAATTAAAATAATTAGATTAATTATTTGGATGTTTGATATTATTTATGTACATATCTAAAACCTTAAAACCTTAGCAAAAAACAACGGGTATCAAGAAATATTTATTGATAGGTTGCTAGTTAAAAGAATAAAAAAATTAACTTTAAACGAATCAACAATAGGACTCAGTCACCCCACCACAAATGAATCAGTAGGTTTCCGTTGTTTGCCATACATTGGTGAATTATCCCAAAAAGTTAGTAAAATTTTTAAACAAGAAGGTTTTAGAATAGCTTTTAGAAGTACGGGTTCACTTAAAAACATCCTCTCAAAACCTAAAGACAAAGTAGACAACTTGGCAAAAAGTGGGGTTTACCAACTCAATTGTAATGATTGTGATATTAAATATATAGGACAAAGCGGTAGAGAAATAAAAACAAGAGTAAAAGAACACTTGCCTAAATCGAGCAAATTTTCGGAATTTAAGGACCATCTAAAAGAAACAAAACATAATTTCAATTCAAATTTAAATACAAGAGTGTTACATAGTTTCAACAAAGGGAAAGAACTAGATTGGTTTGAGAAATTTGAAATTAAAAAATGTAAAATTGAACATGGTGATAAATGCATTAATAATATAACAGATTTTGATCTACCTCCCATTTTAAATATGTACATAAATAATATCAAACATCCAAATAATTAATCTAATTATTTTAATTGTTATTATTTTTATAGTAATTTATAGTAATATTAAGTATTTATTATTCTAATATTTATTTGTGTTATAATTTCCGCGTTTCGCTCGTTCAAATTGAGCGTCATTAAAAAAATCAGCTGATAATTGGAATGTCGCGTTGGCGGAGGTATCAGCGGTTCACTTTGGCAATTCATGTCGAGAGACGTGGTTGTAGAAGTCCTTCAACCTGATGATGAGGTAAAAGGCTCGAAATCCGGATCGTTGCAAAACAACTTACTGTGAGTAGGAACTATCCTTTTAAAAAGGATTGAACACCACACTCACTCCATCATTTATCATTTCTAGTTATATCCGTTCCTCTTCAGGTGTAGTAAATACAAACAGATTTTGTCTGATACAACATTCATTTATAATTAATGAAAAACAGTCAATTAAATCGTAGATTAACAACGAATATGATTTTTTCACCTGAACAAAGTCAGTTTCTGTAGTACAAACCAATTTATTTACAGATTTGAAATTAAATAAAAAACCTCACTTCCCGGAATCAGTGTTGCACGCAATGTTACCACAACCAGGATTAGAGGGAAAAATAAGAAAGACAAAAAATGTGAGACTAGTTAAAACAATGAGCAAGCAAGGGAGCAAAAACGTTTAATAGAATGAGAAAGAGAGAGAGAGAGAGAGAGAGAGAGAGAGAGAGAGAGAGAGAGAGAGAGAGAGTGTGTGTGTGTGTGTGTGTGTGTACGTGTACACGTGTGTGTGTGTGTACGTGTACACGTGTGTGTGTGTGTGTGTGTGTGTGTGTGTGTGTGTGTGTGTGTGTGCAACGGTTGAGAATTGTCTAGCTTGAGAGATGAAGGGAAAAAGATAAAAAGGGAAATATGTAAGCGGATATTAAAGATAGAAGGTCACATAAGCATATAGAGTAATAAAAAATAAATGTTATTAAACATTATCGTCAATTTTTGTGCATTGACTGGAATAAAAGCCCGATTTGAGCGTAAGGGATGACGTGCAGACTTCTCGAGACGATAAATAACGCTTGGAATATGCTGAAGGTCTTTGAGTTGTGCTTTTACAATTTATATCTCGAGGGCTGGGCAGCATTCCGGAGCGATTTTAGAACCTTGAACTTGACGCCGACCCGGAAACGGCGTTGTCGCTACCCGGGGGATACGAAGATGTAAGTGTCCCTGTAGACTGTCAAATTAACTGTCTCTTTTATCCACATCATCACCCTACCAAAAGTCCTTATATTGGGTTGTCCGGAAAATAATGCAGGATTTTAAGTTTTCATTAAAAAAAATCTATATAAAATATTCTGTTTACGTTTACAGGATTACTCATTTGTANAATTATTTTGATTAAAGAACATTGCTTTAAAGTAACTAGTTTCTTTTTTTTTTGTTTAATACCAAAATCCTGCATTATTTTCCGGACAACCCAATATAAAGGTACAAAACTGTACACAAGACAAAAGATTTGGAGGGGTCTTCAGGTGTGAAGCAATGTTCTTAATTTATTTGTCAAACTATTCTAACAGTTAAATAACAGTGTAATTTTCTTAATTTTTATTCTTCCAGGATGAAAAGAAAATACTACTCATGGGATGAAGCTATGAACCTGAGGGAAGTGAAGGTGAGCCGATCTTTTATGAACTCCTTACTCAAAAACCTTTGAAAAATTGCCTGATTTGTCTCCATTTTTTTCTTCTTTTTATTTTTTGTTCAAATTTTTGATATGTTCGCCATTCGTGCGTGGTTTTGTCCGTTTTTGGCCATAAACGACGAGATTGCATGTCACAACCGTGCATGCGCTTTTGTTATTCATCAAGGGCGGATCTATGCCTGTGCCTGATTTCACGCTTTACCTCGGCATTTTACATTCTCTCTCTCGATGGTGTCGCAAAAAAGAAAAAAAAAGTTTTGCGAAATCTACAACCGCACGACACGACACAACAGATGGTGTCGCATCAGTCCATGGATCCGTCCCGATTCGATTTATTTGACCTTAAAACAAAACAAGACGGGACATCCAGAACGGCAATCTGTAAAAATCAGGCCAAATGGCAATAAAAGAACAACCTTTTCATTATCATTTTGATGAATGTGAGATAACAAAAGACAGAAACAACACTGATATTGATTTTCGGGTCCATTTCGTATCGCTTTTTTTCTAGTTTTTTAATATTTATATTCGTTTATTTTTGTATTTCTGTGTTTTTTATTATGTATTTTCTATGTTTTTGGTTGCAGTCCCTCAAGAAACTGAACCACGCAAACGTAGTCAAACTGAGGGAGGTGATACGTGAGAACGACACGCTGTACTTCGTGTTCGAGTACATGAAGGAAAACCTTTACCAGCTGATGAAGGACAGGTGAGCCCTTTTGATCTGTTGCACGGATCTGCCCTACCCTTGACCGTCTCTTAATCGGGCCCGTACCGATGGAAACGGCTATTGATTTTAGATTAGCGTCGATTTCCCTGCTGCCCTCCCGCATCGGTACGACCTTTGAATTTCGACATTCCGCCAGTTCCGTGCCGGCGAAGAACGGTTTCTTCATTTCGTCGATGATTTCGCATAATTGAGATGCAATCATCGACGTTCACTCCGAGCCTCCTGAAAAAAGTTTAAACGACCGGCCGCCTAGTCTCACGTTTACCCTCCGGACTACAAGTGGGACGTCAATGCGTAACATATGACATTAATCACGAAAAATAAAAACCAGAAAGGTTGTGTGTTGATAGATAGAAAGATAAAATATTTAAAAGATAGTAGATGAAATATTTGAGAGTGGGAGTTATTGCAAGTGAGAAATTAGGAGAGAGAATGTTTTAGAGAATGAGGGAGTGAGAGAGAGGAATCGTATTATCAAATTTTGAGTTTTTGTAAAATTTTGATTTGAAAAAATTAAAATTTTAATTTCAAAACAGATGAGCACCAACGTAAATAGTGGATATTTGCATTAAATAGTGATGTTTTGCTCAGAAAGAGTCCAGAGTCTACTAGTTGTAAGATCGAGGTTGAACCGGATGTTTTCAAGCTTCTTTAAACCTTTGCCATTTGTTTTTTTTGTGAAGAAGTTTTTTTTTTCAAAAGATGAGCCGCGGCCGTCAGTGTTATGGATTTGAAAGTCGTGAAGAATCGTGCGTCCCGGCGAGACATTAGGCCTCCCCCGTGACCCGGTTTCCGTGCCTGGGGCTTTATGGTTCCCCGGGAGGCACGTGACGGACCCCGATAAGGTTTATCGTCCGGATTCGATTACCGTAACGGATAATCCGCGGCTGCGGCGTCTGCAGAAAGCCCCCCTCCCCCGGTGGCCGGCACCGCTCCAGGGTCGCGGGGTGGCAGAGGTCGCAGGCATTGCTGAAATTTTACTGACTGTGACCTCTGCCTCCCTGAAGACCCCTGCAACCGAACATAAAACATACCAAAACATAACCCGTTTCTCTTTCTCCTACGAACATTTCTATGGAAACTTATACCACACGTACGTACAACATGAAGAAAGTGCCTATCCAGACGGCGCTTTCGGCTGAAACTTACAAACCCATGAGCACATAAATTTTAAAAAAATCGATAAACATAATAGTAGGTTTGTAATTGCATTATAATTCACCTACAGATCTCCCTTGCTAGTAAACACAGCAAATATTCGTAGTATTCGTCTAAAAAAATTAAAGAGAGAGAGAGAGAGAGAGAGAGAGAGAGAGAAGACAAAGGGAGGGAAAGAGGGAGCTTTATTGAGGGAGGGAGAGAAGGAGATAGATAGATAAGTAAATAGATAAATAGATAGATAAAGAGAGATAGTCGGAGAGACAAAGAGATTTAGGGAAGGAAAGAAGGAGATTTATGGAGGGATATTTGGGTGGGTATTTANAGAGAGAGAGAGAGAGAGAGAGAGAGAGAGAGAGGGAGAGAGAGAGGGAGAGAGAGAGAGTGAGAGAGAGAGAGAGAGACCCACTTCCTGTTACCCCAAAGACGGGTCGTAAAGAAAAACAAATACACATTATTTTCATTTGGTAACCGTATAATAAATCAATTTTAATAGTCTTCATTTATATCCCAAAGACTATGATAAAATAACTAAACTAAGCTACCACTTCCCGGAGACAGTGTTGACCGCAGTGTTACAAAAAACCGGAACGGACAAAAAACAGTGTCAAATATACGAATGTGTGTCTGTGTGTGTCTGTCTGTCCGTCTGTGAGAAAGATAGATAGAGAGAGAGAGAGAGAGAGAGAGAGAGAGAGAGAGAGAGAGAGAGGAGAGAGAGAGGGGGAGAGAGACAGAGATTAGGAATAGGGACATTTGAAAGAGTGTGAAAACAAGTTAAAGCGAGACGGAGAAAAAAACATTGTAAAATAAGAAAGAGAACATTTGAAAGATGCCTGGAATTTGCAAGAGAGGGGGAATTACGAAAGGAAATGTCAAAGGGAAAATCAGAGATTTTGAGATATTCTGCAAGAGAATATTTGCATGATACCGAAAGACAAATGAACAGCGGTAAAAGGTGAGATCGGAAATCTGGTAAGAATTGCCGATAAAGCGTAAAAATTGATAATTTTTGAATAATTCCGCGGAGCAAGTGAACGTGTCCGTTCGTGGATTTATACAAGAGATTACGTTCACCCGGGTGGAAGAGGTAGAACGTTTAACGAATAAAATTTGGACAAACTTCATCATGTTTATGATTTTTTTACCTTCTCGACCTCCTTTTTTGAATAATTAATCACTAATTAATTCGTCCCTCTTCTTGTTTGTAAAACACTAGATTGGGATCAATGGACAATCGATCATCCTTGGAATACGATGGATTCGAATAATTGGGACGTTACACATAAGGTAAACCTGAAGAAAATAAAGGAAAACCATTCAGCCGTGCGCTTTCAACAAAATTTAACGTAAAGTAAAACGGCTTAAATGTTTCTAAATGAATCATGATTTTGCATATCGTTTCTTTCCCTTTCTTGGCCAACGCTAATTTGTGTCTCCAACCTGCGGTAGATGTGAAGGTTGAAGGAAAAGGACAGAGAAAGGTCGCCGTCTGATTGTAGTAATTACAATCAATAATAGAATTATAATCGGTTTTGTCTTATTTGTTTTGTTTTTCTGTCACCTCTTTGGCCTTTGTATTTTTTTTTAATTTTTCAGAGGGTTTCGTGCCTTTCTATTATTCTTCCTGGTCTAGCCCACTCCGACCCAATTCTTCACCAATCGATCACGTTATGCAGTCCAAGATAGTAGATTGACTTTTAAATAGTTGTTACGTTTTATAAAGGATTAAATCAATCTCATTCCTTGCTGAAAGTTGACTACTTGATTATCATACATTATCATTAAGAAAAATACATAACTTATGTTTCATCTCTGATGTGCATAATGTCTCTCTATCTCTCTTTCTTCCTCTTCCTCTCCCTCTCACTCACTCTCTTTTTCTTTCTGTCTCCCTAAATTTCCCTTTCCCTCTGTAAATCTCTCTCCTTTCCTTCCTCCTCACCCTCCCACCCGCTCTCACTCACCCCTCTCACTTTCTCCCTCTCTCTCTGTCTGTCTGTCTCTCTCTCTCTCTCTCTGTCTCTCTCTCTCTCTCTCTCTCTCTCTCTCTCTCGCACTCTCTATCTCTTTCCTTCCCAAAATTTCTCTCTTCTCTCTCTTCACCTCTGTTTATCTATCAATCCCTATCTTTCCTTTCCAATCTCTCTCTCTTTCTTTCCTTTTTTCTTTCCCTAAATTCCCTTTCCCTCTCAAAATATCTCTCTTTTCCTTTCTGATCATCCTCCCAGTCTCCCTCCCTCGCTCGCTCTCTCTCTCTCTCTCTCTCTCTCTCTCTCTCTCTCTCTCTCTCTCATCACCCTCCCACTCTCCTCTCACTCTCTCTCTCCCACACTCTCTCTCCCTCTTTCTTTCCTGTTTTCTTTTTCTTTCCCTAAATTTCCCTTTCCCTCTCTAAATATCTCTCCTTTCTCATCACCCTCCCACTCTCTCTCTCTCTCTCTCTCTCACTCTCTCTCTCATCACCCTCCCACTCTCCTCTCACTCTCTCTCCCACACTCTCTCTCCCTCTGTGTCTCTCTCTCTCTCTCTCTCTCTCTCTCTCTCTCTCTCTCTCTCTCTCTCTCTCTCTCTCTCTCTCTCTCTCTCTCTCTTTCACTCACTCATTTTTCCCCTTCTGTTTCCCTCCTTGAGCCCTCTCTTTCTGAAATTGATTTCTCGAAAATCAATAGTGTTATTGATGGGAGATGGGTTGTAATTCATTTTTAAAAACGTCTATAATTCCCACATCAGTCGTTACCCGGCTATTTTCTCCGAAGGGGGCTCTGTAAGGATTTTGAGCTGGAACGACTCCGGGTTAATAATTGCAATTATAGCAAATCAAGAGATGAAATCTATCAGCGAAGTTCATCAAACCCGTTTCAATTATTCACATCGTCAATAACCCTTTTATCCAGCATTTCTCATCTTGTCTTCATTCCAGGGAGAAACTGTTCCCCGAGTCCGTGGTCCGTAACATCCTGTACCAGGTGCTCCAAGGGCTCGCCTTCATGCACCGGCACGGCTTCTTCCACAGGGACATGAAGCCCGAGAACCTCCTCTGTTGCGGTCCCGAACTGGTCAAAATCGCCGACTTCGGCCTGGCACGCGAAGTCCGCTCCAGGCCCCCTTACACAGACTACGTCTCAACGAGGTAGGTGCTTAATTAATACGATAAACAAACAAAGACAAATGACATGCCCAGTTGGCATCAGTCATGGTATAAAAGACATCGTTAACTATAAGTCATAAAAACACGGAAAATAATTGAAGTCATATCATTCAATTATGAGTTAACTACAACATACGCAAAAATAACGTACTTTATGAACATTAGTGTTTGTTATTAAAACCCTATAAGCATATAAATAAAATTTTGGAACCTAAACAGCGAATCTAGCGGTGCAGTGATGCGTTTACCACGATTACACGCAGTGGCAGAAAGGTATTAAGGGGAAAGGGTGAAAAAGTTTAGTAAAGTTAAACAGTCTCGCATAAAAAAAACGAGAGACGAGAAGTGTAGAAAATGCCAGAAGAGGGAAACAAGAGATATAAGAGAGTAACATCGAAAAATAAGAGGCCGGTAGAAAGACATACCGACGGAGAGAGGAAGACAGAGAAAGAGTGAGAAAGAAAGAAGAGTGGGGGAGAAAAAGACAGGGAGATAGATAAAGTAAAAAAAAGAAGAAGAAAATAAGCAAGTAAGTAAGAAAGAAATAGCCAAAGGTAGAGGACTATGACACGATAATTATTTAAATTTTACTATTTTTTAACTATTTATTAACAATAGAGGGAATCTTGTTAATGTTGTAAATTAATAATTTTAGCTGTGATAAAGAATACACACAACACACAAACATAATATAAACTACGACACAACAAAACTACTTTACGGACAAATACACACACCAAAATACGGACTAGGAATAATGTAATCCAAATTCAGCCAAACTCGCGTTATTATTTTTACATTTGGAAGAGAAATACTTCCCCGAAATTATGGCAAAACATAACATCACATACATATGCAGATATTTAGACGACATACTCGTCATAGTATAAATTGACAACCGCATAAACAATATACTGACAGATTTGATTACACAAAAACAGAAGACAAACTACAACTTGACATATACAGAAAACTGAACTAACAACATCATACTGAACAACATACGACTCAAACTACTCATTGTCAGACCTAAAACGGCAGCACTGAAACACAAAACACTAAAACATCCCTAAACAAAGATAGGAAGAATTTTAGGCCACTAACATTCGTAAATCTTATATCTAATAAACTAGAAATGTTATTAGAAAAAAACGCTACATGAATCCTCTTTGTTTACGTTCTGATTTGTCAGTGATAATAGTTTGTAAAAAGTGCCATTTATTTATTTAATAAAAAAACATTGTATTTAGTATAAGAAATGACAAAAAGAGATGAAAAATGTTTATTCTTGTTGATAAAAGAAACCTATATTAAATACTGATAGATAATTTCTCAGAGAGGTGAAATAAAACACCGAAATCTTGGCGTAGTTTCAACACCAGTACATTCATTGGACCACATCCCCGATCCTACCAAATATATTGTTCAATAAAAGCTGGTCGATCACCTTTACATCCTAATTGAGTAGTGCAAATCGTACATCTGTAATTCTTTTTCAATAGGGAGAGAAAGATTGATGATCTGTTTATCGTCAAATTGAAAATCGTGTTTCTAGGTCTAAATGTAGTTTTCAAAGAAAAGGATGTCATTTTTACAAAGGCGGAAGTAAAAAGTCCGTGAAATGACTAATAGAGTGATTTATTATTATTTTTACTTGGGCGGTTTTAGTTGTGTGTTGTTGGAAACGGGTCGATCGATAGAATTGCGGAGGGGGGCCTGAAGCGGCGGCCGGAACGAGCCGAGTATTAGTCGAGGTTGGCGACCCTGCACGGTAACAGTGTTCGAACCTCGGGTACCTTTCCGTATCAAAACAAGACCATGTTGAAGATCGGCCGGCTTCGACAGTTGAAGCCGCTGTGCGAACGCGCGGTCGCAGCGTTCAGCACAACAACACCATGCATGAAGAAGCGGAAGACTAGGGAAGAGAAGAAAATGCCCAGGACTATCGTACACAACGCAAAGTCAAAGTGGAAATCCACCGACGTCGTCCAGGTATGGAGGGGAATGACGTTGAGGGAGCTGGCCGAGGCGTTAGGAAAAGACGTCGACCACGTACTCGAGGCGATGACTTTCATCGACGACACGGCCCATTACAGAAAGGCGGACCAAGTAGTCGACAACTTCAACGTCATTCAAGAAGTGGTGAAGAAATCTGGGAAGAGGTGGCAGATGATGAAGAAAGAGCAGCCCCTGGAAGAGACGTTCGTCGAGCCGAAGAGGAGGGACCCGTCAGAGTACGTCAACTCGAAACCTAGGCCGCCAGTCGTCGCAATCATGGGCCACGTAGACCACGGGAAGACTACGCTCCTCGACAGCCTCAGAGACTCGAGAATCGTGGACGGCGAGTTCGGAGGGATCACCCAGCACATCGGGGCGTTCGTCGTACGTCTCGGGAAGGAGGTTGTGACGTTCCTCGACACCCCGGGCCACGCGGCTTTCTGCTCGATGCGTTCCAGGGGCGCCCAGGCCACGGATATCGTCGTTCTCGTCGTTGCGGCGGACGACGGCGTCATGGAACAGACGGTCGAGTCCATCTCGATGGCCAGGAACGCCGAAGTACCGATAATCGTCGCATTGAATAAAATGGACAAGCCGAAAGCCGATCCGGAACGGGCGAAGCGTGAGCTCGTACAGCACGGCCTCCAAGTCGAGGAATTCGGCGGCGACGTGCAAGTCGTGCCCGTTTCCGCGCTCAACGGCACCAACTTGGACGCACTGGTCGAGGCGATCCTCGTCCAGGCGGAGCTGATGGCCCTGAGTTCCGACTACTCCGGCCCTGTCGAAGGTGTGGTGATCGAGTGTTCGACGGACCCTCACCGAGGGAAGCTGTGCACTGTGCTTGTCCAGTGCGGGACGCTGCGAAAAGGCGTCGTCCTCGTCGCGGGAAAGGCCTGGTGCAAAATCCGTGCCATGTTCGACGAGAGGGGCGAGCCGGTGCAAGAAGCGCCGCCCTCGACCCCCGTCCAGACCATCGGCTGGCGTGCGCTCCCTTCCGCCGGCGACCTCGCCCTACAGGTCGAGACCGAAAAACGGGCCGACCAAATCGCCTCGAAACGTTTGGAGTTGGAACAGTTCGAAAAGTCGAAACAGGACTACACCATCATCGAGCAGAAAGCCCAAGAACACTACAAGCAGTATAGAGAACGCCTCGAGCAGAAGAGAAAAATGGGCAGATTCCGCTTGAAGCCAGACGGCCCCAGGAAGAAGGAATTCGAAGATGACAAGAGTTTGAAGGTAAACATCGTCGTGAAAGCAGACGTAGACGGTTCTGTTGAAGCGATCTTAGACGTCCTCGACACTTATGAGAGTAATATGTGCAAATTGAATGTGGTCCACTACGGTGTTGGTCCTGTGTCAAAGAACGACATCATCCTTGCTGAGTTGTTCAATGCCATCGTCTATGCGTTCAACACAAAAGAACTTGAAGACGCGAAAGGCAATGTGAAAATCAAACACCACAATGTGATTTACAAACTGGTTGAAGACGTGAAGGGCGAGATAAACAGCGTCCTCCCAGAAAAGGAAGTGGAGGAGGTACTGGGAGAGGCATCCGTCCTCCAGGAGTTCACCATCAATGAGGGCAAGGCAAAGGTACCGGTCGCCGGTTGCCGTTGCCAAAAAGGGATCGTGAAGAAGTCCGCCTTTGTGAAGCTCTTGAGGGATGGTGAGTGCATTTACACGGGCAAGATTGCCTCTTTGCGCCACCATAAGGACGAAGTCGACTCTGTGAAAAAGGACCTCGAGTGCGGACTCAGGATCGAAGATGTATCCATCAAATTCAAACCGGGCGACACTATAGTCTGTTTCCAAATCAACCAGATACCTCGAACTATAGACTGGGATCCAGGATTTTAAACCATCAGTCAAATTTTTACTTAGTATCATTTTATATTTTATAAATGTATATAACTGTAAATAAAACCTAGCTGTTATCGTTTGATAATTCTCTTCAGTCAACCATAATGCATCAATCATTAATACATCAATAGATTACTTTCTATTCAATCAACAAACATTCTCGACAATACGATTTCCACCAAAAGCAAAATTTGATAATGTAATATAATTTATCAGTCAACTTTCAAGTAATTCACAAAAATTTAAACAATAAAACGTCAATTTCCACAACTAAACACAAATGGATATATCACATCCATCAATCAATCAATGTGCACTAAAGTAAAACTCAGTCCATCAATAGGAAACTGAAAACCTTAGATGTGTAATGCATCATTTATCAATCAATTGCTAATCAAGCTGATTAGCAAAAATGTAAACAACAAAAAAAATTTCCACAAGTATACACTAATAAATTGTCATAATTCATAATCAGTAGGAATATAACTCATCAATCACTTTTATGGACTAACAGATTCGCAACAATACAAATATAATTTCTACAATTAAAGACAGTGATCGAACAGTAGATTTTACTATCTAGTAGTAAATCGACACAAAGTAAAATAAAGGCAAAAAATGACCGCGAGTTCTCATTTGAAACAATATAAACTGTTATAATTCATCAATCATTTATAAAAATCAGAGAAACATAATCCAACAACCACTTTTGTAGAATAGCAAAACTTAGAATATATATACTACTTAAACAAAACAGTCAATAAAGCTGATACAAAAGCATCAATCAATAGATTTTATTTTCTAGTAGTTGATTCACATAAATTCAAAAAACAAAATTTCCACAACTAAACACAATTTGATAGATTCATCAATCATTTGGATATAGCACATCACTCACTTTTGTAGAATTCACGATACAGATACAATTTCCTTGTCTAAAAATCATACAAAGGCATCAATCAATAGTCTAGTTTCTAATAGATAATTCACAAAAAGTCAATTTCCAAAACTAAGCACAATTTGATACTTATCAGTCATCAATCATTGATTAATTTATGGCAATACTGCAAATCAATGACTTTTAAAAGTCACCATCTGAAGACAAATGTGTACATGTATAGTCGATAATTGTGCCAAGTAAAAAATTCATCTGCTATCCATCTTTCAATATAAATCTCCAAAAATGAACACATTTATCATCAGTAAAAATCAAACAAACACAAAATTCTATATTTAATAATAATATATCCATGACATTAAAGTTAATCCTATCAAACCATCAGTTAAACACAAACCTCAAGATTTTTAACTTAATTAGTGATCTGAAGAGAAAGTGCATCCACTCACATATTGTTGACAAACTTCGGAGTGAATCAACATTGATAAAAAATCAATGTTCAAACATCAGTCAAAAAACAGCCATGCAAGCAACAACAAACCCAAAAATTTTGGATCTTTACTTCATCAATCATAGCTTTAAAAAAATTCTGCCCACTAATCAACCTAAGGAAGATAATACGAGGAATATTTTCCATTACACAAACACATCATTCAAGTAATCATCAATCAGTAAAGGGAAAATGGATCATCAAACAATTATATAATTTTTTCAGTCATCAATCATTAGGTAAACACAAATCTAACATTTTAATCTATCAATCATCAATATAGACAAATTGCATCCATCATTATCCAATTACACAAGCACTTCTAGATATACAATTCAAAATGTGCATCCATGAAACATCTATTTTCATACAAACTACTATCCATTGATAACATTTGTCATCAATATAAAATCTGAGTATGTTAATCAACAACTAAACACTTGATGCATACTTGATCAATAATATATAAGCAACGTTCACCCATTGATAATGTTTGTCATCAATCATCAATATAAATTCCAATTGTATCCATCAATCAACACTTGATACACAATCCATCAATGGTATACTCTATATGTATCCATCAGTCACCAATTAAACAAAAACATTTAGTTACCACCCATCAATCAGTTACTATAGGCTAATCTGGGCAGAATGAAGCATAAATCATACCTTCAATCTGACATATAACAATCAATTAAAAAATTGTTATCAATGATTGATCCAAGTATGTTTACTGTGATTTAGGTGGTATCGAGCTCCTGAGGTTCTCCTCCATTCAACGACTTACTCGTGTCCAATCGACATCTGGGCAGTTGGCTGTATAATGGCAGAGCTCTACACTTTCAGACCCTTGTTTCCGGGGAACAGCGAAATCGATCAGATATTTAAAATCTGCTCCGTTCTCGGAACACCTGATAAGGTTTTTATTTTTATATTTGTAATTGTTTGATTTGTGCTTTCTGTTTTTTTGTTTCTTAAAGAGAGAGTGGTACGAGGGCCATCAATTGGCGGCGAACATGAACTTCAAATTTCCCCAGTTTAGGAAAACAGATCTGTCAACGTTGATACCGAACGCATCGACAGAGGGGATCACCCTCCTTGAGGCGATGCTTCACTGGAACCCATCGAAAAGACCAACAGCACAACACTCGCTCAGGTGAGTTACAGCAAAAAGAAAAAAAAATTGTTTGCACAGCATGTTTTCCTACAGGCAGCCGTATTTCCAAGTCGGCCAGAGGTTGAGCGGTGTTGTCGAAGACAGGCTGTCTATGAGGGCCAATTTCCACAACAGTAACATCAACTCTTCGGCCAGGCCAATGGCTTACGTCCCACCACAAGCGAACGTTGTCATTGAGAGAGATTTCTCTGAGCTGCTAGGGTAAGTGATGCCTACCTACACACCGTATACTTTTCTAACCAGTTTTGCATTATTTTCAGGCCAAAGGTATCCAATGAGCAGAAAGAGAATCATGGTTGGTACGAGGATAATCAAAAGAAGAGAGTCAGCGCCAAACAGCACTACCTCGCCACTTCGAGATACATCGTCGGACAATCTACTAATTTATCAAACAGGTATACTACTAAAACGTTATAACATATACACGACATGACATCACAGCAAGACAAAAATATGAAGTGGATTTTTTTTATGGATCTAGATGGACAGTTATTAGAAGCGATATATACTCCTGTGACTCCACATTCAGTTTTGAACTGAAAATTGTTTTGTTTAATGTAATCTAGATGGGATGTTTTTATCGTTTATAAAGTTATTAAAAAAATATCTTGTTTGTAAATTGCGACGACCTGAATACCAATATTCTGAAATCTCTATACTTCAAAGAACGAAGAAAATAAATATGAAGTTATTAACTTAATTTACATATTGTGCTGTGTAATTACTAGACTTACTTAATTGTGGAAATATCTTAGGCTTTCTTGGCAGTCTTCTGTCAAGTGGTTAGCATGAACTCTCAACTCAGCCCATTTTCATGGGTTCTATTCCCACTATTGTCCGTATTTTTCCACGATAACTTCTTACTCAAAAAATATGCCTGCGTGGAGTAATACGCATAGCTCAGTTCATAATATCCATTCCGATTGCATGCAAGTGGTGAGTTTTAATATGCTAAAAGAAATAATAAATACCATGTTTACAATTTGTTAAGTTTTGTATGTTTGAATTGAAGGGTGAGGAAAAATTCCAACCATTAATATTTATCCATCTTTTGTCATTTTATAAAATATGTACTTTGATTATTACACGTACTTTTTTTATAGTGAGCAGAATCAAAAAATGCCCCTGTCGACAAGGCAAGATTACTACCCGAGTACGAAGCTCTACGCGTCTGCAAGCAGCCTGAATTTATCAGGCCGTGCAACTAGGATCCACGGGAGGACCGACTGGGCAGCCAAGTAAATGAAATTTTTTTTAATGAAAATCTTGAAAAATTAACTTATTTTCTTCGCGCTCCAGGTACCTAAAATGAAGCTCAACATTAGAAAAAACAAAAATCAAGAAAAAACCAACCGACTGTATATATTTAGTTGTACTTTTGTAAACGAAAGTTGCAACCGCAAAGGGTGGAACCGTCAGCCGAAGTGTACGACGACCTTTACCTGGCTGACGAGGCATGATCTACCGACGAAGGTTACGTTTTCCATTCTTCATTACCCCCACCACCCCATCGCCGTACCCCCTATAATTTTGTTTAGCGAATTCCTTCAACGGGAAAATCCTCTGTGATAAAAAACATTTCAACACACAAAGGCACTGATTTCAATTCAGTAATTATATATATAATATTATATTATGAATATGTATATTGTTATCAATTGGTTTAACGAATTATCCTTTCTGTCAATTATTGTTTCACAAAAACTGATTATTTAAAATGTTTCTTTGCTCTAAAAAATGAATTTCTATTGTCTATTTGTACATATTTTTAATTCAAAGTGTAAAATATTTTTCAAATGTTTAAAAAATTAACAATCAAAACAAATTATAACTAAATACTTTTTTATATAAAAAAAGATAAAATTACATATTTACAAAATTACAAATTTAGTTTGTCTTAATATGTACAACCGAAGTGAGTCCATTCAAAAGCAAAAGTAGGGCAGAGTCCCCTGAATGTGGAGCTAGGATGTCCTAATCATCCTGGGTGATTGCCGTGACAGCTCAGCACAGTCGTACCCACCTCAACTTTCTATTTAGAGCATACAATACAAGGTAAACAAAATTTTCTCTTCCACACGTGTGGTGTAATACAAACACCTGATGATAAAACGCAACAAATCAAAACAAAATAGCAACAAAACTTAAAAATAAATATATATATTCTAATTTTAAAAAAGAGAAAAAAGACAATAAAAATCTACATATATATACAAAAACACCACACATAAAAAAAGAAGCCTACAAAAGACTAATATACATTTTATTGATTTTTTTTTTTTTTTTTTTTTTTTAAATAAAGAAAGTAGCGTATTTTTATATAAAAAATAATTTGTGAAGGGAGTGAGGAAACACAAGGTGCTTTTTAAAACGCGTATCTCGTCCTTATATCTTCTAGCTTCTTCGAAACTTCATTCGGTTTTCTTTCCAGTTCGACTGCTATCGTGTTTTGTTTTGATGGCTCCAACGAGTTGTACTGTTCACAGAGGTCACCATCTATTACATTCTGGAAATAAAGAGCAAAAATTCTTAATTAAGATAGTTAACAACTGGCTATAATAAAATTACAAAATTAAGACGTCTACATCTTTAAAATAATATATTATATTAAAATTGGCAAAATCTCAAGCTACAAAAGCAAAACAAATATGCATTATTGTTTGACAAATACAAAATGAAACTAAAGTAAAAAATAAAAATATAATTATCTATATTAATTATATTTTATATTATATGGTCTTGGTTGAGATGAAAAGTATAATTAATTGAAATATTTAATATGGCCAATTTATATGACTACTAAATACATACATGGATTAATGTAATAATTACCTTTACTGGGAAATAATATGAACGGTAGGAAAGGTGGTCACGACCGCACAGAGGTGGGTTTTCCGATCGCATGTGCATCTCGAGGTGTTGAAAGAAGTCCTGGTCCTCGTGCGACGTGAAGGGCACCAGTACACCCACGGAACCAGAGAGCGTCGTGTACACTAGAGACTCCGACCCTCCTGGTATGAGTGTGGCTTTCTGCAATGACGTCACGACCTCGCCGACATGGAAATTAGCGACGAAATCTGCCTTCTGAGACGCCCCGTTGAGCAGCCCACGGTCCCACAGGGCTTTATTGCCTGTCGGGTCCTCGTCAACGTCATCCGTGACATTGCTGGACAAGCGTATCTAAAAAAAATTTTTACATCAATAATTTTTTTATGAATTTATTTTTTAAATATTGTGTATAAATAAATACTAACAACAGCGACGTTGCCGAATTTATCAGCGATCGCTACAGTGTTGTAATCAAGGATAGCAGTTGTTGTAATCCACCTCGGTTGTGTATCATCTGCGAAAATTATTAACTGATTTTCTGCAGCTTTGTACCTTTACACACAAAAAAATAATTATTTTAAAAAAACCCTAGATTAAAAATAAATCAAATCCTACCGTAAAAGAAAAACAGATTCTTGGACATCGCTTACGTAGACCCGCCGGCCCATCGACTCGATCCTGACGATCATATTTGGTATGTGCTTGTTCTCACATTTTCGAAGAAGTTTTTTCTTACCTAGGTCATAGAGACGGAGCAGCTTACCTACGCCGACCAACACGCGGCCGTGGAACGAGCAGACTGCCGTTGGCAGCTCATCAACCGGTGTCTTATGAACTAACTCTAGCTCCATACCTTGGTTTACAAACCTAATAAAAAAATTTATATCAATATTTTTTTAAATATATAATATTTAATTATTTTGACTTCATAATGTTCATATTAATTTTTTTAAATATATAATTTGGTGATATAGAATTTTTTATTCATAACTTACTTGTAAGTATATAAAAATCCAGCACTAATTGAACGTGGATTGAGTTGGTAATCCTTTGCTACGCCAACGACGAGGAAAAGCTCATGTTCAGGCATGTTAGAAAACCGCACGAGGCCCAGGCTGAAACAAAATTAGCACCTTATTTACCATTTGTATTTTCATTGGGTTACGAGTAAAATGTTTGTAATAAATTTTCAGATACATTTTACAAATCATTTCATTTCATCTGAAACACGGACAGTGTATAACTCATCATAAAAGAACACTTCATAATGTTCATTCCAAATAACAATAATGACATCTTTTATATTTTGTAATTATTAAAATTATTGATTTTTTAATACAATAATATAATGATACGTATTAAAAATGTCATTATTCTCATTAACTTAATGCAATCATTTACCTAATTGCGGCTTCATTTTGATCCAGTCGGGTTGTAGAAACAGTGCTACCGGTTCCTGGGTTCATGATGCGAATTAACGATGCCCACATTCCACTGCCGGCTTTCGGTGCACCATAAGTCCTCTCAGGTAGGTCTTCGGACAGGAAGTTCTCTGCCATTTCTTTTGCAATCTCCGCTTCATCCTCGCCGGCGGCCTCTTCCATCTCCTTGGCCATTTGGATGCGGCGTTGCTTCTTAGTTTCCTCGGTATAAGCATTGTGCTCAGTCTCAATTATGACGAGGTTGGCGTTCTCAGGGTGAACGACAAACTTGCGTGGCGTGTATTCGAGGGGGAAAGATACCTGGTTGAAAACCGCACCGAGCTTCTCAAGGGCAAGGATTCGAAGTGTATTCGCAGATATGGCCACGATGCCCTCTGGGCACTGTTCAGACGCAAAGCCGGAAGCGTACTCCAATGAGTCGTAAGAAAGAGGAGTCAAATGGAATCTGCTCTGGTAACAGTAACTAAGCCACGACCTGCTTGACATTGCAATAACCTAAAAGAAAAAAAGCAAACTCATAAACGAGCAAATTCAGTTTAAAAAATTAAAACTATTTTTAAATAGTTTCTTGTGTCAGAATACACTTTTCATTCAAAACCTTTTCAGAACAGGTCTGTGTTTTTATCATCATTTTAATTTTAAAAAGCTGATAACTTAAATTTAAAAGAAAATACACGGAATGACATTAAAAAAGAAATCATTGTTATTTTAAAAAGGTAGCTTTATTTATTTCAATTCCACTTTTATGTTAAATAGAGAATAAATATTTGGATACCTACTGCTTGCTGTCCGTGCATGGTAATTGGAAAAAGTTTGACAGGCCTTGTTCCCAAGTACCTTGTCCTTGTATCGACCAGATCGCCCGTGATTGGATCGAGCACTGTCCTCAAGAGTACACCGTTGTGCAGTCCTATATTCAAATAGAGCGTAGCCCTTGAACTCTCACCGCCACCCATTTCTACAATGCACAATGACTCTGGAGGCGCAGGGACGGCTTGCATCGAAAGTATTGAAAGACAGTTCTAAAATTAAAAAGTAAATTAAAAAAAGTTTTATGATATTTTAGGCAAGGACTTACAGTTGGGTCAAGAGATATTATCCTGACGGCGTTGTCGGCAAGTCCGACGGCGACGAATCGAGACATTGACTCGCCGGACGGTGCATTCCCCAATGCCATGCATACAACGTCAGCTGGCATCTGCTTCCTCTGATTATACTCTTTTAGCTGACCAGTTGCATCCATGCCGAAATAGACTATCTCACCGCCAGTCAGTGCGATGACTACCTGATGCTGGTTCACAGCACATTTAACAATCTGCTTCTTACCGGATACCTTCCAGTCAAGCCTCTTGTCCGACCTTATATGACGAACACCGTCTGGATAAACCTGCGAATTAAAAATTCGAACAAAACCCATATTAGATTGTTGAACAATTAATCAATTTATTTACTGTACAAGTTAAAATTATTGACGACCAAATAATTCAAACCGTCATGAATTTAACTCATTAATTTGATTTACTCTTGTTTACTGACCGAATCAAAAAAATATTTTGATTGGTGGATGATAAAGAGAATTTTTTTCAATATTTCTTTTTATCTGTAACCGCATTTTTTAATATCTTAGGCACAACATAGTACAAAAGGGTTGAAAATACGGTGATCATGTCGGTCCAGCCTGACACTGTAACAAGAATGCTTCTTTTACAGCAACACAAGGACCACATTCATATTGTTAATTTATTCTTAAAACCTATTTTTATTTAATAGTTTCTTTAATTTAATAGTTCTATTTATCACTACAGATAAATGTTTATCTATCAGAGCACATGGGAATATTTTGAATCTGCTGATCAGATGGCCATTCTTTATAATCATTGCAACTCATATAAGTGCATTTTTTGGGTATCATCATGTCAACAAGATTCGTCTAAATATAAAGGGAGGGAGTAAAGTACTTAAATGTAACCAACTTGTAATAATTACAATTTATAAAGCTATACTATGATGAAATAAAATATTCAAAACATATTCTTTATATATACTTATATGTAACATTTTCTTTTTGTTCACGGCATGGTCTGACTGATCAGTAATGGCCCGACGGGCTACGACCAGGCGATGGAATATGCAGAGTCTTCTTGTGAAGTTTGTTCTACGAGTCCATGGCCACCACCGGTATAATCTACAGGGGGCATAACCATCACATCTGGCTACAAGCACAAGGCAATTGCCAGATGCTGGCCTCGTGATACGTTGTGAAGTGACTGATTTATATACTTTATGAAACATTAGTTCTTTCGTATTTTTTAAAATTAGCATTTATTTATGTGACAAATTGGCGTCTCAATTACAAACAAAAATTTAACTCTGACAAATAAAATTTGCATAATCCATTAAAGCATTTTACATATCATTTAGAAATGTAAAAAACATAACATAATGTACAAGTAAATAAATAAATATAAAAATAATAAATCAATTAAAATTTAAGTTGAGAATGGTAGGTATTGAAGGAAGATGTCACATATAAGGCCAGCTGACAATTAGACAGAAGAATCGTGACACTAGAGTCTGTTTTACTACATACTGCACACATACTTGTAGGATTGACCTGATTAGTAAATATTTTCATTATCTGAATCTCTTCACAATCACTACCATGAGCACTCATTTTAAAAACAAAGCAAAAAACCTCATATTCAGAAGAATAAAAATTAAAACATTACATTATGATTGTTATGAAAAACATTTTATATAATAAAAACATTCCCTTAGTTATTAGTAGCAAAAATTACATACTATTATCTACTGATGGTAGGTTGTACTAAGAACTGCATGTGTAATTGTCAAGAAATACAACAAAACTAGGCGGGATAAAATCTGGAGTTAAGAAAAGAATTAGCTCAAGGTAAATTCGGATAAATGGCATTCTTTAAAAAGAGTTTTCTCGTGATAGAAGGCAGGCAGGGGTTGGCCTTTCTTTTAAATTCCCTTAGGTTCAAGAAGGATAAGAAATAAAGGAAGGGAAGAAATTGGAAGTTAACAAAACAAAAAAAAGTTCAATGTTATTTTTAAATAAAAGCCCTTTTTTATCTGAGGTATAAAATATATACCTTATACATATAAATGATTTTTTAAATTTTAGTTTCACCGATTCATTTCAAAACAGGCCAGCGGCTTGTCAGTATGAAGGACTGAAACAGAGCCTTTACATTTTCTGTATGAGAACACCAATAACATTCCAATATATATTGACAGGTAAAAAATTCCACCCAAGTGATCTTTGATTTTTCGATAAAAGAAAATCTGCCCTTAATTGGTCTCATTGTTTTTACCAATAGATATTTGTTTACGCTATGTTTTAAATTGGGAATATCAACTAGAGGTAAACACACTTAATCCTTATTGATGAGTTCCATTACGGCTATTGCCATCGGAGTTCCCTACGTAACAAGACTTTTCAAGAAACTGGACCCTACCATAGAAGGCCCCCGGCCCGGTTCTGGACGCTCTATGATAACAGAACCACAGGATGACCTTTTTTGACTTTGAGAATTTTGCGAAACCGGCACCGTACTGTTGTTCATGCGATTCCTCAGCTCCAGGAAATTCGAGGTATCCAAATTTCCTAAATCGGTATGGACAGAGGACCAGAACACAAGAGTTCACAGCCATTGGTCTTTGGACGATTGGTCTGCTGTACTTTTTACAGATGAGTGTAGATTGGCTCTACAATCTCCAGATGGGCGTGAAAGAGTGTGGAGAAGGTGAAATGAAAGGTATAAGCCTGTAATTTTCCCCAGAACCAACCTTTCAACGTAGCTCCTCAGTGATGGTGCGGATGGGAATTTCAATGGAGTCGCACAGAGTTGGTTATTTTCATGGAAGGTCTTTGACGGCCACATGCTATGTGGATGAAATTTTAGAACATCATGCGTTGCCTATCCGGGATGAAATCGACGACAATCCTATTCCAATGCAAGATAGTGCCCATCCATGTGTCATTCGCATAGTTCAAACCTTCAACTGGATACCATCAGGGTCTTAGTTAGCCTGGTCAGCCTGTTCTCCAGACTTGAACCCCTCAAACATTTATGGGACCTCAAAAGACGAGTAAAAGCACGTCTATCACTTCCTGATACACTCCACTATCTTGAAAGGACTCTTCGTGAAGAATGGGCTAACCTCTATCAAAAAGTCATTTCCAGACTGGTAAAAAAGTATGCAGAAGCGTCTTATAGATGTAATTAAGGCAAGAGGAGAAAATAAGTGATATTGAAATGTTAATTAAAAATCTAAAGCGAAATTAAAACAAATTTTATCCGTCCGTCTTTTTGATTTTTTTTTCATTTCCTTTAGCAATTTACTTTTTTTATGTTTTTAAATAAAGATCAATCAAACATTAAAAAACGTGAAACTTTTATTAATATATAAAAATATATACAAATCAAGTTATATTACTAGTGGGTGTTATTTTTTCACTGTCAGTGTATTTGAAAGGCCAATGACCCAGTGGTGACATCAGCAATGTCTTAATATTCAAGTTATATTACTAGTGGGTGTTATTTTTTCACTGTCAGTGTATTTGAAAGGCCAATGACCCATCAGCAATGTCTTAATATTAACATTTTTTGCAAAACAGTTGGTGATAACCATCTTAAAGAGTTTCTAAACAAACGGAATACATATATTTCTTTATTTGTAGGAAACACTGGTTTTATTCATATGACAATGGGCCAACGGCTTGTCATACAAATTTTCTCTAGAGCCTGGAGGTTTTCTATATGAGAACATCAATAACATTCCAATATATTTGGAATGCCAGTGGCCGCTAGATACCAACAATGTCTCAATATTAACATTATTCTATTATTCAATATTAACATTATTCATTATTCTACGCCACCAGTGTATACAACCCGGGCTCATGATACGCTGCCACATTATACCTAGGTCCTGCCATAAGTTCTGTTACAATCATTCACCTTGAAAATAATCCCTGCGAACCTTGCTCTCTTGCCTATTGTTTACCTTTGATATAATGCTAAATTCTTTTACTCAGTTGTTGTTGAGAATTAATAACATCAAGATGGAACGCACCCTTGAACAAAACCGTCATGCCATCATCGCACTGCACAAGGCAGGTAAATCAAAATCAGAAATTTTCAAGACGCTGAAATCGTTAGGAATAAATTGAATGTTTGTGTGGCGCACCATAAATCGCTTCAAAGATACTCTATATATTAAAGACAAACCAAGGTCCGGCCGTCCTCACTCTGTGAGGACGAAAAATGCCATCAAAGCGGCTGAAAACCGAATTCAAAGAACTCTGCTATGAAAACAAAAAATATTGTCCAGAGAAATGGGGATTTCTTCCCAATCAATGTCGCGCATCATAAAAGACAATCTTTCGATGAGTGCTTACCGTAGAATGACAGGACAAAGGCTTACAGTATCTTTAAAAAAAATTAGAGTTGAAAGAGCCAAGGCTTTGTTGACCCGGTACGCCGATGGAGTTCATCGAAACATCTTGTTTACCGATGAAAAAATTTTTACCATCGAGGAAAAATTTAACCATCAAAATGACAAGGTTTATGCTAGAGTTCTCTAGAAGCTCAGGAAAAAATCTGAAGGGTAGAAAGAGGCCATCATCCTGCTTCCATAATGGTGTGGTGGGGAGTTTGCTACGTTGGCACCACAAAACTCCATTTTTGTGAGCAAGGAGTCAAAACAAGGGCGAAAAATTACCAAGAAGACATCCTTGAGAAAGTAGTAAAGCCCTTAAGTACTACTCTTTTTTCCGGAACTCATTGGGTCTTCCAACAGGACTCAGCTCCTGCGCACAAGGCCCGAACAACTCCGCAGTGGCTGGAGGAGAATGTTCCGGAATTCATTAAGGCTTCAGATTGGCCCTCGGGAAGCCCAGATTTGAATCCTCTGGACTACAAGGTGTGGCCCCGCCCATCTTCAGCTTATGGCTTGCCACAGGAAACACGCCAATTTAGAGAGCCTGAAGTCCACTCTGCTAAAAGCAGTTGAGAAATTTCCTCAAGACGTGTTGCGTACTGCCATAGATGATTGGCCCCGAAGACTAAAAGCTTGTGTGAAGGCAAAAGGTGGTCATTTTGAGTAATATTATTTTATTTCAATCTTAAAAAATATTGATTTTTTAAAAATAAATTTCTTTTTCAAATTATCTAGTTTCTCTATCCCCTAATGGCCCTTTTTCTTGTAACAGAACTTATGGCAGGACTAGGTACATCTAGCATAAAGAATGGAAGACGATGGGGGAAAACTCCTATGAATTCCAATATTTTCATGATAAAATTCGGATAAGGGGGTTTGTCCGTACTCCATCAACAATTTTCTTTTATATAACAAAAAAGAAAACTCAAAATAACGAGAATAAACTTTGATTTAGCATTATCATCCAGTACAATGATGTCATTTATTTTCTAAGACAAAATGTTGGCTTTATAATGCATATTACACACTTATGAATTTATTAAAATGTGAAAAACTTATTGTACTTTTTATACAAGAATGCTTATTTTGAATCTGTCAATCAGATAGCCATTCTTTATAATCATTGCGACTCATTTAAGTGCATTTTGTGGGTATCATTATGTCAACAAATTTCGTCTTGACGGAAACAATAAAAATAAAATTATGGACTTTCAAAGACATACAATTACTAGACTTCTTTCAATTAAAAGCAAATTAGCTAAATGAACTTAATACATCAATAAGGGAGCTTAATTAAGTACAACTTTATTGTAATAAACTACTACATTATTTATCCATTATTATATACAATATAAAATTCAACATTTTAGCTTAATATTTGTTTTTGTTCACGGCATGGTCTGACTGATCAGTAATGGCCCGACGGGCTATGACCAGGCGATGAAATATGCAGAGCTTTCACTAGAAAGTTTTTTTATGAGACCATGGCCATTCCGGTGTATAAGACACGGAACATAACCATCACAGCTGGCGGCTCAGCACAAGGCGATTGCCAGCTGCAGGTCTCAAACTTTCAAAACTTGAAATACTTTTTATGAAATTAGAAAATGTAATGTGAAAAAAGTATTAAAACCATATGGAAACATTGTTTTATAATTTTTTTTCTCAAACTCGTTACTATTGCATTTTTAAACCGTCCGATCTCAAATCAAATTGAGCCGGGTGATAAGAAAATGCTGAGTTTCTAAGGTATATAATAAAAAATAGACTTACTTGTACTGCAGCGTCATCTCCCAATGCTGAACAGGCCAATGTCGAAGTGAAACCGAGAAATCCGGAGTCCGCAACTTCCTCGACTGTTTCACCAATTGAAAGGACAAGAGTGGCACTCAAGAAAGAAACGACAATGTAGGCGTCAAACTCATCTGAAACAGGAACACTTGGAACATTAAACCTCATATTTTTCTTTCTTTTGTCTTGGAATGCCTAAAATTGAGCCTGAACCTTGCAATTTTTATTAAAACATCAATATTAAAAAATATCAAGTAATTTTTTTAAAAATCTTTTAACTTTTTTTTGTAATTGTTCACGGCATGGTCTGACTGATCAGTAATGGCCCGACGGGCTATGACCAGGCGATGGAATATGCAGAGCTTACTTATTCTACGAAACCATGGCCGCTCCATCGTATTCCACGAGGAACATGACCATCGCAGCTGGCAGCACAGCACAAGGCAATTGCCAGCCGCAGGTTTCGAAAACCTAACTAATTATCACAAGACTAATACATTCAAGACAAGAGTTCTTATAACTGCTTACGGACCATCTTAAACCTGATTGCCTTCTGGCATTGTGGCTGACATTGGTGTCATCTTGAATGTTAAAAAATTGTCTCGTTTTGATTCACTCCGGTTTCGAATAATTGAATAACGGAGGCGACAAAGCGAGTTTCATCTTTGCACATCTTTATTTTAAAACTGACATTTAAATAAATCAATCTTAAAATGTGTAAGATGTGCAGTAGTTCTTAAACTTATTTGTACACCGGCTTGCCCTAGCCGAACTGACAAATAATTTATTGCAGTCGGAGGATAGACCGGTGTTAGTTTGATTTACCAATATTTGAACACTGGCATTGCAATTGATTTACAACCCAGTTGCCTATAGGATATTGGATTTCTACAAATTTTTATTTACAAAAAAATTACAAAACTAATGAATTGTATTTATATTTAATGGACTCGGCTTCCCAAGCAACCCACTATTGTACTTGTTGAATATAAGAATTCTGGCACCAAAACATAAAAAGGTAAAAATACAGAAAAACATGCCAAATTTAAACAATCTCAAAGCAATTTTGGTTCTTTAAATTACACTTTGTTTTGTAGGTTCACTGTTTTGATCTACCGACAATGGGCCAACGGCTTGGCGGAAGTCGTATGACAGAGCCTTTGAGGATTAATCTTCGAGAGGAAACCATTTCTTTCAAGGTATTAGTACATCGAAAGAGCCAATAATCTCGATAACAATTATTAATTTATACTTAAATTATAATTGTAATAATTATTAATTACTCATTGCTTCATTATATATTGTATATCGTATACACATATATAATATACTATTGATAATATTGCTTTATAGAATTGTAAATATTGTAGGTTATGTTATATCTGTCTTTCTACAAATTTTTATTCACACAAAAAAAAAAATTAATGTAGTGTCATACATTTATCAGGATGGACCCTAGGGCTTTCCAAGCCACCGACTATTTTTCAAGTTGAATGTCTGGCACCATATTGAAGGGGGGGAAGGTAAAAATCTAGAAAAACGGCCCAATTTAAAGAATTTAGGTGATCCTAGTTTTTCAAATTAGGCTTTGTTTTGTAGGTTCACTGTTTGGATCTACAGACAATGGGCCAACGGCTTGTCGGAAGAAGTTCGTGGTGACAGAGCCTTCGGGGTTTATCTTCGAGACGACAAGTCCTTCGAGGTAAAAGTACATCGAAAGCGTTCCAAATCTCGATAGTGTCTGAACAGCTATTAATCATTGCATCATTATAAATGTATGTCATATACATAAGTATTACCATAAAATATTGATAATATTGCTTTTTAGCATTGTAAATATAGAAAAACATGGCCAAATTTAAAGAATCTAGGTGATCTTAGTTTTTTAAATTACGCTTTGTTTTGTAGGTTCACTGTTTGGTCTACCGACAATGGGCCAACGGCTTGACGGAAGTAGGTTCACAGAGCCTTGGGGGTTTAATCTTCGAGACCATTATATCTTTCGAGGTATTAGTACATCGAAAGTGGCAATGATCTCGATAAGTGTCCAAACAGCTATTATAAAGCAATCATAATATATGTATGTTGCATACATATGTATTACAATAAAATATTGATAATATTTGCTTTATAGCATTGTAAATATTGATTATTCAGAAATCATGAGATGCAGTCTGGTGTGATGTAGGTTTCAGAAAAACATTTTCTTTATCGTGCCAACGTTTCTATCTTTATTGGGATCATCTTCAGGGCCTGGGATTTACATTGTTTAAATTTAACAAAAACATGTATGACGTGGAAAAAGTGAATTTTTACAATACAACAAATATTTTTTATATACAATCAAAGTATTTCTACTCACTCAGTGTTTGTTTTCTGCGTAATTGTGCCATTCTTGTGTGTCGTGTTGAGTGCCAGTGAGATATTGCTGTTTTATGTTTATACACGTTGGATTTTGAAAGGGCAGGGAAGGAAGTCAGTATAGAAAGACATTTTTGTATAAGGAAACGTTGGAACTCCCTTCCCTTAAAGGTCTTATGCTTTTATCATATGATTGAAAACTGTTCCAACATTTTAGTACTATTCAAAATCATGTTGAGATCGATAGTGTGGATGCATTATTGGATTTGATATAGGCAAGCTTTGACACTCAGGTAAATAAGGATTAGTCGAGAGTAATACAGCTTGCCGTTTTTTTTTTTTTAATTTGTATTTATGTTCACATGGTCTGACTGATCGAAACAGCCCGATGGGCTACAACTAGGCGATGTTGAGTGCCAGTGAGATATTGCTGTTTTATGTTTATACATGTTGGATTTTGAAGGGGTGGGGAAGGAAGTTTGTATAGAAAGACATTTTTGTATAAGGAAACGTTGAAACGATAAAGAAAATGTTTTTCTGAAACCTGCATCACACCAGACCGCAACTCACGATTTCTGAATTATCATCGACTAATGGCCACCAATCACCACATATTGGGAAATACTGTAGGTTCACAGCTGAAATCAACTGGCAAATTGCCTCGGGTAGAAGGATGATTTACAAAGCCTTGTTTTTCTAAGAGGAAAAATCATTTTAACATCAAAATCTGAAACCACGATTGGACTAGCAATGATATAATATATATATACACACACACACACACACATATTTTTTTTTATTCCATTATAATAAAAATAAATTAACAAAATTAGCATCTATACTTGGTACACATCCGTACATCAGAACTGCAGGGTTAACTTCAACTTTTATTCAGCAAAAATGTGTTTGTCATCCCTTGTACAAATGCAGAATTTTTTTAAAATATAATAAAAGGGTTTTTTTTTACAAAATTGCATAAATTTGAGTCAAACATTCCAACAATCCTGGTTGGCCTTTTTTTGGCATTTCACTATCTTCAACAGTGGTTCTTGGTGAAAACTAGCAGACAAGGTGGTGATTGAAGGGCGCAAGATTTTATGTGGTAAATATTAATTAGCACAAATTATATAGTTTGGTTAATTCCCATCATTTTAGTCAGCCTATCCTCATTTTTGGCTTCTCGCCATCCTCAATTTGGCAGGTAAGGATATAAAATGGGAGTAATCAAAAACAATCAAATTTCAGGCTCATTCCATACCATAAGAGGAAGTGTTAGATGAATTAAATTTTTAGTATTAAATCCCCTCAAAAAATTAAATTATACGTTTACTTATTAAATTTTAATGTTGTGAATTAAAACCAAAACATGTGAGATTCCTGCACTCATGTTTAACGATGATATCACATTTGTTATAGCACTGTTTCGACCCATTCATTAATAGCATCATGAACAGGAGATACCTCAGCGCATACTTTTACTTTTAAGAGACCCCAGTCAAAAAGAAAAAAAAATCCATTTTCTTAATGCTTTAAATGAAGTTCACATTGTTCTGCATTTACTGGTAAAGTTTTATATTTTTATCAACTAGGAATGTATTTTTTATGGGGGGGGGAGCACTTGGCACAAACTTTTGACTCCAACTCCTAACACATTATATACTTAAGAACTATTTTATTATAAGTTTTGTGAAATATTTTATTTTCTTAATATTTTAAAATGATGATGGTGAAATCAAACACATTTTTGTTTATAAGAAACCTTATAAAAAGACTTAACTTACATAAACACTCAAAAACAGATGTAAAATACAAAAGGTTTTCACTCAATACAGTAACACATTCGTATAGAACAATTGTTTTGGAAGTGAATTACGGGCTGGAAAAGAGAAAGGTTAAAAATGTAAACTCTACCAACCTAAAAGTGAATCATTCAAGAAAGAACGAAATCGATCCAGAAATGGCAATAAGTAAAAGTTGAATTGGGAGAGAGAAAAAAAAGAGTTGCTGGGCAGCCCCTTAATTCAAATGAATGGCTCTCCAATGAAATAAATAATTAATTCTCAAATTAAGTCCTTTTCACAACTTTATGAACACAAATTTTCCACCCCGATTCGATTTACACTCAAATTTTTTCTGTATATTTGAACATTGTCTACAAATGCTCTGATGAGCTGAATTTAACTGGACCTCACAGATTCTGAGAAAAAAAATCCCAACTGAATGAAAACACAGGGGTTTTTTTTGGTTTTTTAAACAATGTTTTAATATCTTTTTAAATTTCAGCTTTTTTTTAATATCTCGAAGATGCTTGTAAATAAGCCCTAAAAGTTTGGTTTAATAGATACAAAAATTCCTAAAATGCTAAGTGGGTATAATGGCAAAGCAGAGGAAGAAATCGACTGTGGGGTCCTCCCTTCCCTTAAAGGTCTTATGCTTTTATCATATGATTGAAAACTGTCCCAACATTTTAGTACTATTCGAAATCATGTTGAGATCGATAGTGTGGATGCATTATTGGATTTGATATAGGCAAGCTTTGACACTCAGGATAAATAGGAATTAGTCGAGAGTAACACAGCTTGCCAAGTTTTTTATTTATTTTTTATTTTTTATATTTATGTTCACAACATGGTCTGACTGATCGATAACAGCCCGATGGGCTTACAACCAGGCGATGGAATATGCAGAGCTTTTTTTTTTTACAAAAATTTCTCTACGAAGCCATGGCCACTCCAGTGTATTTGACACTGGGGCATAACCATCACAACTGGCGGCACAGCACAAGGCGATTGCCAATTGCAGGTTTCGATTAAAAATTGCAAGGCCGCTCATTATTATTTATAAATAAAAGCTTACACCCCGCCATCTTTTTTAAAAATGTAAAAACTCACCTCATCCTATGATTATCCGAAAACCAAGATACCTGAAAAATAAAAACAACTGGTGTCTCTCATTGATAAGAACTTTTTTTTAGTTTTTTTTTTTTAACAAACAAGATTAAAATATTTAATCACCAGCTGTAAATTATTTTGAACTTTGAACCATTATTCACAAAGTGGAAAAGGTGATGTTTTCCTTTTTACTTTCTTTTGTTTAATTAAAAATCAAACTCACCATCAGACCTCTTCTTCACTGTCCAGACTGCGTTGGGTGCACCTGGAAGTTCAGAAACAGCCATCTCTGATACCTCGAGCCCGTGACGCAGGACTCGCAAAGTCGACCTCGGCCCGCGGCCGCATGCCATGTATAGCTGTGGTGTGTCCTCTCCAGCTGTAAAAGCAAATCAACAACTTTAGTCTCGCTTTTATTAAATGGCTTGATTTCTCAAACTTGCCTAAATCAGCGACTTTACAGTCAAGGATGGGAGACAGGGAATCCATCTCGTCCACGAGTACGAGGTTCCTCAGGGGACGAGGCGCAAAGAAGAATGTATCACCTTCTTCCAAAGGCATCGCTGAACTGAACTCAGGCTCATCATCATCATCACCAAGATGAGCAATTTGATACAAATAACTGCAATGGGAAAAATCAAATATTAATTAACATGGTATTAACACAAATGTGTAAATAAAAGGTATAGTGTTTAATTTAACTTACTGGTTGCCAAATTCAGAAGCTACAAAAAGAAAACCTGTCTTCAGGACACACATCGCTGCGGCAACCGGAACAGTGTCGAAATACTTAAGTTTGATTTCAGTGACCACATCCTCATCTGTTTCAAGTGTCACTTTAAATATGTCGCCCTGTTCAGTTTGAACGAGGAAGAAAAACATAGATTTGGTCTTGTGCGTCGCCGAACATACAAATATCATGCCACGCTCGGGATCATCAAGATCATTCTACAAACAAAAATAAATAATTAAAAGTTTAATAGATTTCTAAGGAAGTTTTGTAGTCGTTTTTATTATAATTCAGTTCTACTTTTCTAGCTTTTTAGTTTATTGATAATCATTATAATCATTTTAAATTCCCATAATTTTTTCATCATGTCAAATTAATTTTAGAAATCCTTTTTTGAAGACTTACTCGTCTTCGAGGTATCGGACATCGTATGTCATGCTGTTCTCCAAGGTTTTTATATGTCAGGTAATTCTCAGAACAAATAAGGACTCCACTGGGTCCATCATGCCCACCGGGAACAGAAATGAGAAAATTGGCATGTTCTTCGAGCGCCTCTGAATATTTTCTCACAACATGATTCAATCCCAAATCTTGCTCATAGAATGTTAATGTCTGCTGTGTCTTGCTTGCAGCTTCACCCGTGTGGTCGTTGTCAGACTCCTAAAACCAAAAAGCAGAGGTAAGTATATTTATTTCAGTTTTAAGTAAGAATATTAAGTAAGGTTTTAAAGTTAGAACCTCATAATCAATTTCCAAGCAGGCAAAAAGAGGGTTTTCAAAACCAACGTCCACACCAACCATGTGGTAGATAAGTGTGTTGCTTTTGTGTGCTTCTAACGGTGTTGAAATAGTAAGCCTTGTCTCACTGTCCCTGTTCAAGATGTAAACAATCTTCTGTTTTTCAATCGCTCCGATCATAACAGTCCTTCCTCTCGGGTCGACCGCCAAATACTGACCTGGAACGATCCTCCTGCACCCACTTTTCCCGAATGTCTCTTCATGGACTTTCTCAAGAACGTTTTTTGTTGGATTATATTCAAGAATGACAATACGGCCAGAATCTGACCCAATTACAGCATAATCTACATAGAAAAACAAATGTTATAAAATAACCGACAGCCAGTTGAGTCAAATGAAATACCTTTGTTCCCGCTGGTTAAACGGAATGACATCAAAGAACGTATGACGCCGAATATCTCGATAGTGAGCAGTGAATGGACCTTGCCGGTGTTGGGATCGGGTCTGAGCAGCTCAAGAGACTTCCCACGCGACACAAGGATCTCTTGCTGTTTCGTCCCAGAAAAACTGCCGTGGACCGCATGGGTAATCGCAGTTGACTTCTGCAGTGTCAAGTTGTATAAATACATGGCTTCCTCTCCTCAGACCTTTGGAGGGGGTTGTAATCTGCAAATTCCCATAAAAAATATTTGTAAAACATTGCACAATATTCAACAAGAAGACCATTTAATAAAAAGTATACAATTTCAATTAATTAAACTTTTTACATAGTCTTGGTTGAGATGAAAAAGTTAATGTCCAGAGCGGGTTCGATGACCTTTGACTCAATACGCGCTGCTCTAACCATTTGAGTTATCGTGACATAGCTTTTTTATCTCAACCAAGACTAGGTAAAAAGTGTAATTAATTGAAATAATTCAATGGTAAAAACTATCCCACCACAAACTAAACATCAGAAATCCTGAGAAAACAATTGCATAAGTAGTTCATCAGATTTATGTTTATCATAACAAAATTTCCAGAACAGGTCTATGATTTAAAATCATCATTTAAACTACTTTAGGTTCCGCACTCATTTGGGTTGATTCACGTTATACCAAAGGAAGTACATGTAACTAAGAAAAGTTAAGCTTTGCCCAAGTGGTACCTTATTCAACGTAATTTAACAACTTTGTAACTTTTGGCCTAGAAACTAAAGATTCAGTTCAACATAAATACATCCACTCTGAGATGCAGGTTGATTAGTTGAATATTTTTAAGATTCTGTTCTTGTTCAAAGTGAATTAAGTGAATTGCAACAAATTAAAATTTAAAAAAATCGAATTAAAATGTTAATGCTGTTGTAAGGGAAGTAAATTCTGAAGCCACAAATGTAATGACAACCTGAATCAACTTAAGTTTCATTAGTTTCAAAATATTAAATTTATCAGTCCTTGAGTGCAGTTTAAATGACTAATTGCTTAATATATATTACATTCCAATAAAATAACCACCTTGTCACTTTCTCTTGCAAAAAAAAAATCCAAAGCGTAAAGAATAGAAACAATTATTTCCAATAATTAATATATAGTCGAATTTGTCATAAGCAGACACTGTTAAATTATTTATTTAACACTTTAATAAAAAGTACTGAATTATGAAAAAGCGAGTCTTTACAAAATTTTAAAGAACAGTAATTTAAATTACTGTGGCGATGACAATAAGCCTTACCATGAAAATAAGATATAGACAGTAATTATTATGGGAAATTGAAAACTAGCACAAAATGCAAGAAAATTGGAATAACCAGGGATCCAATACAAAAATTCAGCTATTTCATGATGAACAGAAGCTATACTCGATGATTTTTCAACTTAATGATGAATGAGAATTGGTATATAGTTGACTAAAATTCTAAACTAGTTATTTTCAAAATTGTCCTCCCTCCCACGTGTGGGATGTAGGCCCCCCACACTAGGAAACAGTGAATTAGCGGGTGTTGCATCTGTAAGTCAGTCTTGACCAAACCAGCGAAAGAAGGGCATTGACCACACCACCTGGCCTAAAGAATTTGCTTTTTCTTCTTTGCACTCTTGTTTATGGGACCAAAATAAAACGGGAGGATTGTAATATCAAATCAGTAGGGACTCTAAAGAGACGGGTTCTGATGACAAAACCAGGCAAGTTGGGACCCAAATGAGGAAGGGGCAAAGCAGAGACGTTTCAACTGAAGACCAGGAGTCCTGAAATCTGGGACAAGAGACCAAAACAGACATCACGGATATGGAGACTGCTGTGTCATTATAGATAAATGGAAAAAAAACTAGAATTTGAAATGAGGCTCACTAATCACTCAATCCGGCCAGTGTTAAAATAAATACATACATTAACTTTTTTAACCTTACCTAATTCCCACACAAAAAGTAAAAATAGTGCCAACTCTAATGTCCTCACTTCCTTAGCCAAAGAGATATAGAGCTTACAGTAACATTAGGTAAACGAAAAACATTGTATTTGAATGAATGTACTCAAGGCACTAATTTCACTTTCTCAAACACTTTGGCCGCCATTTTTTTGCCAAACCTTTCTTTAAAAAAAATCTTTTTTCTGCACTCGTCTACGAACCACACTCTATCCATAGTCACCTCTAATAACCAGTCCTTTGAGAGGGTTGAGAGATCTTCACCTATCAGTTAAGGTGTGAGCTGCGAGTTGGTGTATTGATATATTCAATTATTTCAACTAGATCTCAGAAACAGCTTCAGAAAATGAACCCAATATGTAAAAATACTTTTAGAAACTAGTGGAATATCTAAAATACCAAAAAAGTTCGAAAAAGTAAGTTTTAACTGGTTTTTAGATTTTTACCTATGTACTGGTTGATGTGAGTTGAGATTGGAGTTTTAATGTATTCAAATATTTCAACTAGATCTCACATACCAACCGCTTCAGAAAATGTGCCAAAAATACTTTTTGAAACTAGTGAAACATCTAAAATGTCAAAAAAGTTCGAAAAACTAAGTGTTCCAACTGGTTTTTAGATTTTTACCTACATACTGGTTGACATGTGAGTTGAGAATTGATTTTGATGTACTCAAATATTTCAACTAGATCTCAGTTATTGACCGCTTCAGAAATTGTACCAAATATGTAAAAAAACCTTTTGAAACTAGTAAAACATCTAAAATAACAAAAGAGTTTGTTGTTCTTTTGCCTCGTTATACATTAGCCAACGAACCAACCTTCAGGGCCATGTATCCACCAGTAGCCAGACGCCACCAACCCAGCCGCAGCAATTCCCGTAAAAAATATTTGTAAAACATTGCACAATATTCAACAAGACCATTTAATAAAAAGTATACAATTTCAATTAATAATACTTTTTACCTAAAGTCTTGGTTGACATGAAAAAGTTAAAGTCACGAGCGGGTTCGATGACCTTTGACTCAAAACACGCTGCTCTAACCACTTGAGTTATCGTGACAGCTTTTTTATCTCAACAAGACTTTAGATAAAAAGTGTAATTAATTGAAATAATTCAACGGTCAATTTGTGAGGATTGTTATAACTGTGTGGTAAAATTATTCAAAAATAAGAATGGAACCGACAGAACCTCTCCATGTTTATTACACAATAACAATTATTTTAAACAAAAAAAAGTATCTGATCTGAAATATTAATGAATGAAAGTTTAAAAACAAAGATTCAACCATAAAAAGTAAAAATAGAGTAAATAAGGATGGGAAATTTAAAAGAAGGTATTGACTCACAGCAAAAAGTCACCGTCCCTCGGTTTTCTCCAACTTAAAAGTTTTGTCTGATAAGCGATAGTGTCCCTCCCCTATTTACAAAAAACATACGACCCTCACAAATTATGACCGCTAAACATATATGGATGTATACAATATTAGTCAAATTAAACATATAAACAATGCTATCTAACAGTGTGTATCAATTTTTTCTTGTTAAGTATTCCTACTTATAATAAACAAACTATAAATTGGAGACATTTTTTCTAATTATTTGGCAAATGATAGAGCCTAACTTTTTAAAAATTTTAAGACACTTGAATAACCTATATTCTATTTTTAAAAGTTCATCCATTTACTAGTTATGCTCGTTCTCAACTGAACGGACTGTCCTTCTGTGAGACCAATAAAAGCTTGGGAATTTCCACCAAACAATGGAGTTAACAGTTAAATGTAGGGTATTATCAAAGGGAACCTCTTTGAAGGGAAATCCACAAAGGGTTAATCCTGAATTTTTTCAGGTAAAAAAAGAAAAGAAAAACAGGTGTACTTTCTAAACTTCAATTTTAGAGTTTTTATAATCCTGGAATTATTTATTACTGTAATTGGAAGAGAAAAGAGCAACAAAACCTGTTAGATTTGTAAATGGTCAACCGATGGATAATTTATCTAAGCTCACGTAAATTTATCCAATTGATAAGAAATAAATAAAGCTGATATGTGAATAACGACTTGGATCTTATTCTTGATATAATGTAGGCCAAACTATTGACTTAAAACTATCCCACCACAAACTAAACATCAGAAATCCTGAGAAAACCATTGCATAAGTAGTTCATCAGATTTATGTTTATCATAACAAAATTTCCAGAACAGGTCTATGATTTAAAATCATCATTTAAACTACTTTAGGTTCTGCACTCATTTGGGTTGATTCACGTTATATTGCATTAACTTAAAACTATCCCACCACAAACTAAACATAAGAAATCCTGAGAAAACAATTGCATAAATAGTTCATCAGATTTATGTTTATCATAATCAAATTTCCAGAACAGGTCTATGATTTAAAATCATCATTTAAACTACTTTAGGTTCTGCACTCATTTGGGTTGATTCACGTTATACCAAAGGAAGTACATGTAACTAAAAAAAGTTAAGCTTTGCCCAAATGGTACCTTATTCAACTTAATTTAACAACTTTGTAACTTTTGGCCTAGAAACTAAAGATTCAGTTCAACATAAGTTCATCCACTCTAAGATGCAGGTTGATTAATTGAATATTTTTACGTTTTTTTGTTGTTTTTTCAAAGTGAATTGCAACAAATTAAAATTTTAAAAAACCAAATTAAAACGTTAATGCTGTTGTCAAAGGAAGGAAATTCTGAATGACTGGTGAAGACCCTGTATTATTATGGAAGATTTTTTTTTTAAATCAAAGTGTGAAATAATATAGAGAATAAAGATAAGATTCATTCTCATTGTCAATTCACTTGAACTGATTGAGGCTAAGAATTTGGGTGCAAGACTTATTAAACATCAATTTAATTGGCCAAATAAATTTGTACATCAGAACTGCAGGTTTGTCCTCATATTCAATCAGCAGACATGTGAGTTTGTCATCCTTTGTACAAATTACAAATGATACCCTTGATACAATACAAGGAGTTCAGTTAATTATAACGTTTGATTTTTAAACAAATTTGTTAATTTATTTTCTGAATGACAACCTGAATCAACTTAAGTTCCATTAGTGTTGGACATTCATCTCTTGGACAAACAAATGATTTCAAAATATTAAATTTATCAAGTCCTTCAGTGCAGTTTAAATGATAACTTGTTTAATCCCAATAAAATAACCACCTTGTTGCTTTCTCTTGCAAACAAAGAAAATCCAAAGCATAAAGAATAGAAACAATTATTTCCAATAATTAATATATAGTCGAATTTGTCATAAGCAGACATTTAAATTATTTATTTGACGCTTTAATCAAATGTACTGAATTATGAAAAAGCGAGTCTTTTCAAAATTTTAAAGAACAGTAATTTAAATTACTGTGGCGATGACAATAAGGGCGGTGACACACGGAGCAATTTTGACCGAAGCGTTTACCGTTATCAACTAGATCTCACATACCAACCGCTTCAGAAAATATGACAAAAATACTTTCTGAAACTAAAACAGCTATTAATCATTGCATCATTATAAATGTATGTCGTATACATAAGTATTACCATAAAATATTGATAATATTGCTTTTTAGCATTGTAAATATAGAAAAACATGGCCAAATTTAAAGAATCTAGGTGATCTTAGTTTTTTAAATTACGCTTTGTTTTGTAGGTTCACTGTTCGGATCTACCGACAATGGGCCAACGGCTTGTCGTAAGTTCGTGGTGACAGAGCCTTCGGGTTAATCTTCGAGACGACTAGTCCTTCGAGGTAAAAGTACATCGAAAGCGTTCCAAATCTCGATAGTGTCTGAACAGCTATTAATCATTGCATCATTATAAATGTATGTCATATACGTAAGTATTNGTGTTTGTCATCCCTTGTACAAATGCAGAATTTTTTTAAAATATAATAAAAGGGTTTTTTTTTACAAAATTGCATAAATTTGAGTCAAACATTCCTGGTTGACCTCTTTTTGGCATTTCACTATCTTCAACAGTGGTTCTTGATGAAAACTGGCACAAGGTGGTGATTGAAGGGCGCAAGATTTTATGTGGAAAATGTTAATTAGCACAAATTATATTTATGAAAAATTAATTAAGGTTTTTAGTTGAGATGAAAAAAAGTTAATGGCACGAGAGGGATTCGAACCCACGACCTTCGGCTAGATACACCGCTGCTCTACCACCTATCACCTAGTGAAACATCTAAAATGTCAAAAAAGTTCGAAAAACTAAGTGTTCCAACTGGTTTTTGATTTTTACCTACATACTGGTTGACATGTGAGTTGAGAGTTGGTTTTGATGTACTAAAATATTTTACCTAGATCTCCATTATCGACCACTTCAGAAATTGTACCAAATATGTAAATAAATAAAAAAAAACCTTTTGAAACTAGTGAAACATCTAAAATACCAAGAGTTAGTTTTTTTTTTTTTTGCCTCGTTGTTATACAAGCCAACGAACCAACCTTCAGGGCCATGCATCCACCAGTAGCCAGACGCCACCAACCCGGCCGCAGCGAACGAACAGGGAATGATAGGGCTCTCCTCTCATATTCTCAAACTTAAAGGTCTAATTATAAATCCATTACAAAGGTCCGTTTTGGCGATGTGGATATAAACATTACATCAAGATATGTGGAAAAGTCCACATCTCCCAAATCCCCAGAGCCAAACTTGCTCAAGGAGCCCCGCCCACCACAGACAAGCCAGCTGCGCCCAGCCCAACAGACACAGTCCTCTCTAGTTAAGGCAAGGAATTCATTTCAAATTTTCATGTTACATCTATAAACAAAATCTAGTAGATGTCCATATATTACAGTATTGTTCAAAGCTAAACATAGTTTATGTGTTTGGGCACTTCCTTCATACCGTATAACCTATTCAAAAAATAGTTCCTCTCAACTACCCTGAACAGATTCTTGTATTCTAAGTCTTCAGGGATTTTGCAACATTTACATTGATCATTCGGTTTATTTTATGAAGGTAAATTGATCATTCGGTTTATTTTATGAAGGTAAATTCCATGATTAGACCTAAGCCTATTTATAATTGTGATATCCCTCTTGGAAAATGGAACATTTTGAAACCAAGGCTTTTTAACAACTGAGGGTTTATAGAAGAGTATAGAATTTTCCGGTTTGTATACTTTCACTATACTTATGCCACTTTATCAAATTTTGGGTCTTAATTGCACTTTTTGCATCTTGCAAGGGAATGGGGATAGGAGATAATTCACCATCTAGTACGGACTCTCTCGCCAAACCGTCTACTTTAGTGTTACCCCTGATGCCGGAATGACCACACACTCACAGGAACTGTATATTCACTCTTTTTGACGATTTAACGGTTATTTTAATTACCCATGTTGTTATCTGAATTAAGGTTACAATTCTTTAAACTCTCCAAGGAACTTTTTGAGCCTGACAAAATTAATAATGATTCACTTTTTACATCTTCGTATACATATTCTACTGCCTTAAAGATGCCAAAAAGTTCAGCAGAATATATACTGAACTCTGGAGGAAGTTCATATTTTTCGTGTTTGTTTTTCTGTGGATCGTACCAGTCGCATCCTACTCCAAATACCAAAATAGTCCGAAAACACAAAAGATTGAAGAGTTCTTCAGAGCAGGTGGTAACGGTTCGTTTTTACTTTGTTTCCCCTTTTACAGAGGCCATTCATTGTAAATTTCTTTTTAATTAAAAAATAATAAGTTCCGAAGTTATCTTTTATACTTTTATAAGGTTTCATTTTTATATTTACCATTCCCTTTTTTATGAGAGATCGCTAAAAAAAATTAATGTTAAATTAGAAGAAAAATTAGTCCTCGCATAAATAAGTTTCGTATAATTTCACGTTATAAACGAATAAAAAGCCCGTTGCCAAGAACAAATGTAATAGGAGGTCATGCGAAACTGAAGAGCCGAAACGATATTCAACATTTTTTTTAAATTTATTAGGTTCTAGTGAAGTTGAATTCAATATTTACTTAATTTTACCTTATAAACGAACAAAACGTTTTAAATATGCTTTATTTTATATGCTTTAACATAATCCGAACAAAGGGACCACGTGCACCGCCTGGCGATCCGGTGAAGTACAAAATTGTTGAAAAAAAAACTTATTCCACAAATTTTTTTTCTTTATATAAAAGTAAAGTGAAAATAACAAATTAACACAGATAAAAATAAAAGAATAAAAAAACTTTTTCTTTAATTTTTAAGGTTAGGATCATGGCCGACACGCGGTCCGCCATTCCGGTAGAACAAATCACGTTATTTTTTAAATAATGATTTATTTTATAGAAATAAGTTTGGTTCTTGATATAGTACCTTATGATGTTTCTAATAGTAAAAGTAACAACATAATACATAACATTTTAGCAGTTAGGGCGTGTTGAAGGTTGGAGGGCACGCCAGCTAGGCCGGCATCATGTTCGAATCGAATCAATAATTATTAAACTCACCTATTACTGTTTTCTTCAAATTTTCACCGATGGACGAAATCCACCGTTCAGTGAAAAAGCCCACCTGGGATTTTCATCGTTGCCCTGATTTTCCCTGATGAAGAGCAACGTCGTGTCCGTTCGAAGGCTGAGGCGAAAATGGCCGAGGTCCGTTGGAAACGCGTCGCACCGGGACAGGGGCGATCGACCTGATCTCTGCCGGTCGTCCATCCGCCAATCCCTGCGATCTGATTGGCCGGTTCAGCTATGATTGTAAACGGCAAGTTAAACAAAAATTAATATTTTTAATTATTTCCCACCATATAAAACTTAAAAAATATTAATATATTATTAAATAATAAATATTATTTTAAATAAAAATAAATGCTACATTTAGTTTATAATTACTATGTCTCACCCCTTCGACATGCACAGCCTTGATTATTACAAATCACACGTCAACGGTTTTTCCTTTTAAAAGAAAATTAACAGGGTTATTTGTAAATAAATAAATTATTAACATCAAAAGACTAAAACATATCAATTTTATATATTTATGTTCTTTAACTGTTTTATCAATCCTAAAGAATTATTAATATGAAATGTAAGTTTAAAATTATCTCCTATTTTAAACATGTATCTAAATAATATTTGCCATTAATCACTTATTTAATTTTTTCCAGTTTTTATTAGGGTAATATTTAGTTAAAGTGTATATTTAGTTAAAACGAGCTTTTCATTGGAAAGTCGAGTTGGCGGTGGATCGGCGGCGGCGGGCTTAATTTTTCATTTCAGGCGTGACATGTTGTAACTCCTTCAGTTTCCTCCTTTCCAACCTCTAGTGTCCCTTTTTCCAAGTGGAAACTCTATTCCGTTTGAAAATACATTTTTCATCTAGAGTGGCTGCTCATTTACAATTAATAAATGCTGCGGTCCCCCTTCTCTATAAAATTGGAGTTTCACCTAAACCACCCTGGCTGCTTTGAAAGCCTAATCTATGCTTAGACCTTACTAAATTTTCAAAGCAGAATACTCTCCCCTACATGTACAGTCAAGAACTTTGTAAAACAATAGATATCTTTTCGAATCCAACACTATGTTTTACAGATGGCTCAAAAAATGATGTAGGGACAGGTGCTGCTTTTTGCACTTATAATAATAATGTACAGTATATGTTTACCCTACCACCTATATGTAGCAGCTACGCTGCTGAGCTTATAGCAATAGCAAAGTGCTTAACTATATTAGCCCCATCCATGGAAACGATTGTCATCTGTACTGATTCTTTGTCGGAACTATTGGCACTTAAAAACAATTTTTCTGTACATCCATTGATACAGGACATCCTATTTGCAATTGAATCTCCTTTTGGCCTAAACTCCTTCAACCTGATGATGAGCGTTTATTACTTTGGAATCCGGATGATGGAAAACAACAAATTGTGAGTAAAAACTTTCTTTTAAAGTAGTGATGCTTTTAATTTCTTGGTTTTCCCACCCATTGATTTATCTACACACTATTTGACATTTGTATCCTTTCTTATTTTTCATATTTCAAAACTAACGTTTAAGGCTTGTAACATTATTCAGGATCTACTTTATCACTTTCTTATATGTTAATATGTACTACAATTTGTAGTTAGTCTTTCTTTCTGTGTGGTCTCACAAAAAGGTCGTCACATCTGTGCATAAGAGCAATCGGCATCTATTCTTTTCCCTGCCTTTTATGTCATTCAGCCATTTAAGCATTTTGTTTTCTCAGGTCGACTGTTTACTGAACAAATATTGTGGTTTTTTTGTACCTATACCTTAGGTTGTAAATTTGTTAAAAGAAAATTTTTTTTTCCTTTTTTTTTGCATCCCTAGGTGTGGATCTACTACTGAACTTCGTTGGCACTTCAGGTCCAAACATGTGTTCCATCAACAAGCCAAGTCCGTCATTTTAGGTGGTTCACTCAACTGCCGGTGCCGCTGAGAAGCTATGCTCCCGATATGGCCGAAGGCAATGGACAGCGAAGATCTCAAGGCCGTTAGGGCAAGGGTGAGTAGCAGCCTCGGCAATTCTTTTATTCCGAGGTCTCTGAGCCTTTGTACAGGCATGCATCCTCTTGCTCCCACTACCACACCAGCTGCCACAAAGTGCAGCTCTGTGAGGGCTTCCCTCAGTACCCCACATTTCTCCGCCTTGAGGTCTGCTACCACGTCCAACGCGCCCATAGTTTCATACAATAATTATCCCATATCCCATCCGTATCAGCAGCAACACAGCTGCTGGAGACCAGACCTGTTCGGTGCCCTGTGGGGAGCCTCGACCTCGCCTGAAGGCCGAAATAACTCATCGTGCCTCCTCACTATCTTCCTTCGAGTGGCTCTTTGGGTATGTCGAGAGAATGTGAGAGAGCATCTCATTGCCGGCCCCACATCTTCTACAATTGGCCAGCACACTAGAGTCTGCCCTTCTCCACACCTCCCTGGTGCCCATTGAATTGGACCTCATGCGGAGGGCGTGGATGAACCACCGGTTGTCCACCGCGTTGCTGGCAAAGGTCTTCACACCCCGACCAGTCGCCCCCAAAGCCGCCCAAATGTCTAACCCCCCAACAGTATAGTCGTTTGGCCAGCTCACACAATTCTAGAACAATTAGGTGTGGTACCTGCCATTATGAAAATGACGGCCTCTGCCAGAACCTGAACAGTGCATCGTGGGCAAGAGGGCAAACTAAAGCCTACAGAGCCTCTTAGCTTTTAATAATAACAATAATACCTTTATTTACACCAAGCTAATTTAAGTACATTATACAATTTACATATTTTTCGTAGAACACAATGAATTATGAAATAGATCCAACTGAACATTTTTAGCTTCTGTGCATATTCTATGCATCGGAGAGTTGATCATGTAGTTTGTTTTGCTAATAGGAACATAAAACAACTTTGTATATCTTGTTCTTTTATTAGGTATAATGAATTCAATTTTTTTTCTTAAGTTGAGACAACATAGGTTATTTATCAATCTGAAGCAAACTGTAACATCATCAACTTTTTTACACTTTTCTAGAATACATATTTTCACCACCAACCTAAGGTCATTATAAGAAACAGATTCCAAATTTATGCCAAGCTTGAAAGCCCCATACCTGAGGAATCTGCTTTGCATACTTTCTATTAATTAATTCTTACATATTTTATATAATAAGGTGACCAAACTGCTGAGTTATACTACAGAACAGGCCTTATTAAAGATAGTAAAGCTCTCTTATACAATGAAAATTCGTAAATTTTATTTAATTAATTAATTCTATTTAAGAAGCCAAGCAATTTTAAACATTTATTTACAGTCATTTCAATATGTAAAACAAAAAAGAGTCTAGAGTCAAAAATTATACCAAGGTCCTTAATACTATTTAAAGCCAGCAATACATTATCACATATTTTGTACTTATAAATAATGGGATTTGATTTTCTCTGATAACACACAATTTTATATTTTTTCAATATTTAGGGACAATGTAATTCATGTCATACCAATTGGCTAGATTTGAAAACTCTTCCTGAAGCATATTACAGTCCTCTAAAGATCTAACCAGTTCAAAAATTTTTAAGTTGTCTGCAAAGAGTCTGAACTCACAAAATTCAAAATATTTGGCAACTTCATTTATAAAACTATTGAACAATAATGATTTGTTTCTATCAATTAGATAGTCCCTAAGCCATTTATTAATCTACTGTGTACAGCGCTTTACTGTAGTCGGTATATATAAAAATCAACCTGACATCCAGCCATAAATGCATCAAAAATACATGACTGAGTAGACACCAAGTTAGTGAGTTTTGATTTATTTCTCATAAAACCATGTTGATTTTCATCAATTACATATTTAAATAAAGGTGTTATTTTATTAGATATAATCATTTCAAAAATTTTAGGTATGTACGAGATTTTCCTAAAGGTCTATAATTTGTGATCAAAGATCAGTCACTACTCTTGAAAATGGGATAGGTTTATGATTTTTATTTTATTTCATTTTTTTATTTATACATTGTTTTATATTTATTTATCTTTCTTGTTTATCTTCTTTATTATTTATATTTCAAACCATGGGAGATCACTGTGTCAGACTGGCAGAGAACATAAAGGTTCATCGAATACCGACTAGTGGGGATGGTTCGCTCGGTTTTCTTGTCTGCTTCAAAGTGCACAAATATTTGTGAAGTAACCAAACTAAAAGTGTCCAAACAATTCGGGAATCAACTGTACAGTACGGATAGCAGCTGTAATCATCAAACAACACTGCTATTTATTTTTCAATAATAAATGATACCTAACTAGTGTAGGTGTATTAATTAAAGAACATCATAGCATTGTTTCTATCGGTTAGGATTGGCCTAACATAACCATCTTGTGGTTCCTCAATCTATACCAAGTTGAATTGATAATTTGGAAAGCTTCTCTTCCAAATCACAAAAATCGGAACGATGTTTTCGATGCATGGAAACAGATCAAAAATAAAATGGGGCAACAATACTCTGTGACTGATTTGTGACTGAATTTGTAGCCACAACAAAAAACAGTAACAGCAATGACAGTTTCACTGTTGTCCATCCCGAGTGGAACTTTGCAAATACGTATTCGCTGTTTCCGCACAAACTGGCTGGTTGTACAAACCCCGGATGTGTGTATAGGTAGGTATCAGTTGTACATCCCTGCCATATCAGTTAATTTTTTTTTTTAAATTTTTTTTATAGCCTTTTGACCAAAGTCCACATATGTGTCTAGCATGTAGAGAAAGGTTGCTCAATGTGTCCCGCTTAATTGTAGGTTATCATTCCTTGGCTCCATGTAGAGAGTGAGTAGGAATGCGTAGTATGAGTATTGTGTTTGAGTATGATGTCAAGGGTTTGGGGCCGGTTTTGGAAGAGTCAGGGCTGTATTACTGCACATGTATTGATAGATATTTTGTTATTTATTTCGTCTTATCACTTTATTAACAGTTTATTAATACATCAAAATATATTTTTTTATTGCTTTGCTTTAAGCATACATCAATAGTACACTCATATACACATTAAAATAAATACATAAGTACACATCACGTAATAAATTAATTAATTAAAACAAAGTAACTCGTCTTGCTGGCATGACCCAAAACCGTGGTAGACAGAGAAATCCTTTTGGAGAGGATAGTCAAACATGGGACAAATTAAAAAAAAAAAAAATCTGGCTGAAGCAACAATTGATAACGACATAATATGACAAAATAAAAAATTTTTATAAACAAGAAATAAAATGAAAATAAGTGAATGTATGAGTGTGAAATCCTTGTCATTATGTACATAGATATATACAGATATTTTGACATCTATTTTTTTAATCAATTTATTTACTATTTATTTAATTAATTATTTATTTTATAAATTAAAAAAAAATGTATAGGTGCCAAGCTTATGGATTGGCCAAACATTCCAATATTCAAAGATTACAAAGTTGTCAATCCAAAATTTTAAGACTAATTATTTCTGTCCCTTTTTGTGTAAACAAGAATACACTTCACAGAGATATTTTTTTTCATTCGTCATAACAAATTACCGACGTTTTCATAGTAAATCACAAAATTGCACTAACACACAAATACGATTATTCCATTCCTCACAATTACCACGTAAACGTCTGAAAAGAATAATGGATAAGAGGCCTCTTCTTAAATGATTAATATCATTTTAATAATCCAGAGCAGCTGCCAATGGGTAGATTTCTCGAATGCTTGTAATGCCACAAACATAAATGATCCAATCTGCCAGTTGTATATAATACATGTACAGTTGTAGATACAAATCAATAAAGCAAAAAAATATTTAAATTATTTATTCATTACATATTCAATTATTTATTAAGTAACAACATCTAACTACATCAGGAGCACACTTGAGGCATGGCTGATACGCATTCCCTAAATAAAGAAAGAAAAAAAGAAAAAAAAACAGAACTATGTAATAAATAGATTTACACAAATTTAAATAGCTACCATAACACACACATATGATACTAAAGTCTATATCACAGTATTACACATTAATATCACATTCTTCCAAAAATTCAAATGTCAATTTATACACGTCCACATTTCCATTTGAATGCAAGCTTTCCTAGCAAAACCATCGCTGAAAATTTTTCAGTGTACACACCTTGTCGAAAAATTCTGCCTTCCCTCTTCTTATTCTGGGCAAGTCAAAATATGTTTTATTTTTTCCGGTTTGTCGCATGTTTTGCAATTTAGAGTAGTTCTACAGCTAATTTTATGCATATATGCACTTCAAATGCAATGGCTTGTGCGAGCCAGTGTTACTTATTTGAATTATTCGATTATTTATGACATTTCTAAACAAGCTATATTATTAAGCTATCTACAAATAACAGTAGAACAATTTACTATATTTCTTATCTGTCTGTAACTATGTACATTAGTCCAGTTACCCTTTGTTCTTTGTACATTGTCATTAATGTTTATTTATTTATCTTTCTTGTTTATATTATTTCTTATTATAGGATTGATAACTCGTTATCTATTGAAATTTTTAAAACCATGTTTTTTTAATCTAAGTGTGTCTTTTTTTTATCTTTATCTCTTCCCTTTTAATCACATTGACACATAAACGCGCACGCGCACCTGTTCTGAATGCGAAGGCGTGCGAGGTAGCCAGGAAGTGCTGCACCCTAGCCGCCCGTGACGAATCGCCGCCGTAGCGCAGCGATGCCCGGACGCGCGGGCCAGTCAGACTCCGTCGTCAATATGGCGAGGTTGCCCCGTTCGTCCCACCTGCCCTCCGCCGCCCCCGCCGAGTGAGCGCCGCCCCCAACGACGAACACCGCGCGGATTTTCCAACGACGGTCGACGATGCCGAGTCGGCCCGCGTGAGCCGATCCCCCGACCCTTATTCACCATTAATTTAACAAATCGGCTTAAAGTTTTATCCCACAACAACGCCTAAACCGACTCAACCTCACATAAATATACTCGATATAGTTTCTTTTTTTTTGTATTTTATAATCTATTCAATTCTTTTTAAAAAATGTACTGTCAAGTGGATAAATCGTCGAGCTCCACTAA